GGGGGTCGGTGGGAGATTCAGCGACGAGGCCTTGACGTGAGACTATCCAGTGGTTCTGTTGCGACAGTGACTACCAAGTGTCGACTGTTTTGTCGTTCGCAATTGTGGTGGAAGCCAACAAGAGTCGATTTGTGAAGGGAAGAAGTCATGGAATCGCGAGCTTCGTCCGCTCAAAGTGAGTGTGCCAACGTGGGCAGTACAGTAATGGAAATGGAATCACCACCGAGGACAGGGAAGTCTCTCTCTGGTGGGAGAAGAATCCACCACTGTCGGTATGTTGTGATTTCGATGGATGACTTAGGAAAGTGTGGACTGGTGAAGAGAGAAGGCAGGGGATAATCCTGATGTGCGAACTGCAAAAGCTCTAGGGTATGTGGGAAGTTAAGCAGCGGCTCCTGCTTGGGCAACTCTGAGTTGGCCTCAATGGGGACAAAGTTCGAGTTGCGAAACAGAAAAGGAAGAAAAAAAATTTCCGTGGGGGAGCCGCGAGGTAAAAGCGCTGCACAAGCGCCGCCCAGTCAAAGGGGGGCTGAAGTTGTGTTCCGCCGGTGTGGAAATCGGGTACCCGTCCAGACGAGAATGGGACCCTTGGCTCCCACCAGATGGACGTGTGAGCTGAGACGAGCCGCAGGACCTCTTTGCCCCAACCCACGACTACGCAGGGCCTGGCCAGTCGGGGCTTTTTATCATTGGTGACCTCACGTCGTAGACTTTTCTAGTGGTATCAGCGCGCCCCGCGATCCAACCTGGGCTGGGTTTGCAGTCGATGGGACCTCCTGGCCGCCGTTCACAATAAGCGACTAACACTGTCTGCTGCTATAGTTTCTAGGTCCTCAGGCAGTTAAGTAGTATCACTCTCGCTGATATACGCTGAAACATGGGCCGCAACCTGCACATAGTCGGCTAACCGGACCATTCGGCCTCCCCCGCTGTCCTCACCGACACTCTTGTCATGACACATCGGTCATTATATCCATCAACTTGCCTGCGCAGAAGTGAAGAAGGGTTTCTTGATTGTGTTCTCCCAAGCTCGATGGTAGTTGCCGACAGGTCCTTGGCGCCTTGCTGTCGTTGCAGTGTTTTGCCGCACTTAGTGCAAGCTGGAACTGCCCCCAGGAAACCATCTAGCGCGGCAGCAGCTGATTTTAGTCAAGAACGGAAAGGACATGACAACCAAGCAGCTATATAGTACTTGGGAAACAGCATACTTTCCAACGGCGGAAAGTAGACAAGCCGAGCATTGCAAAAGCAGAGCGAACAACAGCCAAGTAGAAGGACAAAATAGGAGGACATAGGGAGTCAACGTGCTTGAAACACTTGTTCTGTACCAGCTGCAGAGAAGACGGCCAGCATCCGAGGAAGTCGAAGAAAACAAAGACTGGAATGATCAAGGCAAAAACAGCCGTACCGTATCAGTAGGAAAGCAACCAACCCGAAGTCATTACCCATTTCAGCCTCGGGTATCTTGAGACAGACAAGGAATGCCCAACTCCCATACCAGACGTAGCTACCATCAACTGTGCTGGTAACTCGAGGAATCGGTCTGTTATTGGGGTTATCATGTTATCCTACTACGCCGGCACGAATCTTATGCGGTAGTGGACAGTATGAGGCTTGTAACGCAGCGTCTCGAGTAAACTTAACTCCTGAACGTTAATCGCGAGAAAACCTGCTCCCAGCCACGTCCGTTAGCCACGGGCCGAAAGTGATCAAGACGGCGGACCATCAGACCCCTTCCTATTACGTGGTTCTTCCTTGAACGCCCTTCCGAATATGTCGCTTGACATTTGTTTGGATCCCTGTATGCGATCTGACTGCTCCTCTTTGGTTCTGTTGAAAGAATGACTGCGACGAGCATCACCAAGTCTTGAGGTTGGAGAAAGAGAGAGGGTTTTGACGAATTTCTGAACCACACGAGTTAATGAGGTCTACCGGCCTATTCTCATGGTCGTTATAGTACAGGTTGTCGCTATCTCTATCGTGCTCGGTTGCTTTTGCTAGGGCCACAGAACAGGGCGGCTTCGTAGCCAAAGACAGGAGTGAGTGAAGAACGAAGAACTACGCAAGTACTTTATACGCGTAGGAGTTATGACAAGCGAAGTAATGGGGAAATGATGACCGACGTACCATGAGCAAAACATCAAGTGATTGCTGCTTGGACTTACGCAAGCGGATGAGGGTTGGAAACAAGCAAGCAAAGTCAATCAAGCAAGATAGACTGGGAAGACGCAAGGGTGAACAAACTAGAAAGACAATCGAAGCGGACTGATACAGATAGGCTCGGCTTGATAGGAAACAGATTGCTACCCCAAAGTGGCTGGTGAGGTATGCCTTGGTCGTCGGACAGCTCGCTGGAGCTTCTCGTTGCAAGAACCCAACTTCCATGCGGGGATTTCCCTCTTAATCACGGCCCGGGAGATGTGGGCATACTGTCTCTCGGTAACTTGACGTGGGACTCGTGACAGGCCGGCATCGCGAGTGGTAGCTCAGGAGCAAAGGGGGTTGTGGCAACGACAGGGCGATGGGCACCTGCTGAGGCATCGAAGTTAGCAACGAGTGTATCGAGGCGAGGAGGGGAGAATACCGTCAAACAACAAGGTAACCCTAATCCGATAAAACTCTCCGATCTGTTTCGTGACGATGGTGCTGTCACGGCGATTTTTTTTTTTTTTTTATTAGATGGAAAGTGCTGTCCTCAAAAGCACCCGAGTACTTCAGGTCGCAATCGCTCTAGTAGCATGGTATCATAGTATATGGCTGGAGAGAACAGTGTCTGCGGGGGGGAGTGATTGAGACTACCTCTAGACAGCGAAAGGTATCCAGGCCAAGGGAACAGGAGAGCAGGGTTCATGGAAAGCGATTCAACAAGGACGTTGGCGATCAATACGGAAGAGAGCACAACAAATCACGGGTTTGAGGGTACGGAAAACAAAATAAAAAGTGGCCGCAAAAGAATTTGGTTTGCTGTTTTAAAGGATTGATCGTGTGCGAGTGTCCTCGGCGACCCCGTGAGGTGGAAGATGGAGCAATGACCAACACCCAACTGAATGAGCGATGCGCGAGACAGAAAGAACACTGCACCAAAAAGGCGAGGAAGACAGGGAAGGAGTGAGGAACATGGCCGGGGGTCATCGGCCCATCACAGCTGCAGCTGCTGAAATAACAGGAGTCCCGATGTGTTCTCCACGAAGGAGGTGCGAGGCAGCAGCTTGCTTGCAGACGGGCTGGACACTGCATCGCGGGATTCATTGTTACCCACATCGTAAGATACCTGTAAGGCTTTGTGACGGTCAAGAAGGCAAGATGCACCGCAGATTGAGAATCCTGCATGCTACAGACAATGCCCACTCGGTTTAACAAAGCGATGAGAAATACCAAGCGGCAAACCCCCGCTTGTCCATACACCTTTCTTTGTTAAAGAATCCCATTGTCATCGATGCATTTTGCCGAGAACTTGTACTGTACAGTGGCCACTACTAGGCCATTGTTACGGTATCTGCGTGGTAACGGACGACACCGATCGGGGTCCGCCTCGATCCTACCCCTCATCTACCCCAATTTCCCCAACGGCCTCTTTTCCAACTTCCACTTGCGACGGGCCATCCATGTCTACCCCGCAGGCACTCTGATCAAGATCACTTCCCTTTTGCATTTTCATGACGGATTTCTAACGCAAATGGGACACCGTACACTCCCACGCTTCCTGTCCGGCAAATCAGTTCAAGGCGAGAAGAGCAGATGCTTCGGGTTGCCCCGTGCAACGTGCATCCCGGGGACATACAAGCGCGCAAACAACCCCCCTTTGCCAACTGAGCTCCTCATCAAGCTGGTCGACCTGAACCACATGGACGGCGTTCGAACTCGACTGCGCCAGTCATACGTCCATGATCCCCCCCGAGCTCGAATGATGCGCTGGGGAGAACGCGCCTGCGAATCCAATGCCGCGAATCCCTCTCGGATCCGTCGCCGGCCGTGATGACTGATGGATGAAGCCCCGTCTCTCATCCTCACCCTGACGTCATCGCCCTTATCGTTGCTAATAGCCGGCCTACCTCTTACCGTTCGAGGCCTACTTCGTGAGAGACGCACCGAGTCGAGGAACCCGTCGGTCTGTCGCAGAACGTTAGGAGCAGATTGGGCGACGATGGACGATAATGCTCGCGGCTGGCTTCCTCCAAGTTACCACTTCTCCAAAAGCCCTTGGCCTCCGTTGTCTAGGCGTCGCTGAGTAGCCTCTTTTCCTTTATAAATATCATGCTCCTGATGCGTTTTGTTTTCGTTTCCCGTTCTTTGCCTTTTCACTTCTTCTTCTTAAACTTCTTTCGTCGCCCTACCTCGCCTTTCTATACCATCACTATTGGTGTCGCACTCACTGCGTGAAAATGGACACATCGTCGGTTGAGAATAGAATGTGTTCTGCTCATATTGACCCTTTATCAACTGGAGGATGGCTTTCCATTACTATATCATCATGATGTTGCTGCCCTGCCCTCCGCGCCCTGCGTAATGACTGTTAAACATCGATGCTGATGCTCTGAAAGGGACAGAGGATTCGCTCAGTTACTCCTCGCCAAACCGGTTCCGAGATTCCTCGCGCCACGAAGGATACCCGACGCCCTTGGTGAAGCGCTGCACTCTCAACTCTCGAACTAAACCCCGTAGAAAAACTCCAAAGAGCTCGACGCTCAAGATGACAAGCCAAGGAGTCACTACCAGATCTCAACATCACGGTCGTGCGGAATGATTATGGCCGGGTCCGGGGCAATAAAGCGATATGTAGGGAATGACGAAGAGAGGCGAAATAAGGGAGTGAGACATGGGAGGGGAAAACCAAGCACAAAGCGATCGAGATCTCGGCTCCCTCGTATCCCATCGCGCAAAGCCCTCTCTATGCCCATCCATGCTTCGAAAGCGTATCCTCAACAATCCCCATTGCGTCTCTCCGTTAGCCAATAACAGTAGTTTCACGGTGCGATGGGACTTCAAGAACGGTTGCCGGAACGCCGACCCTGGAAAAGAAGATATTGTAGATTCGCGGGTCAAGAGAAATGATTCGCGACGAGAGACGGAGAAGAAAAAGGAGCCACAAACACCCAACACATTGACACGCTCGATCTCCGCCCGCACAGTCGCACCAACCCCCAAGCCTTCTCGATCACCGTTTCACAAAGCGCCTCCCAGCGAGCCTGACGCCTCTTGCCCTCCTCTATACGATTCTCCCCGATACCATCCTCCTCGACACGAATCCCGCATAGCCACCGAGGCCACGTCCGATCATATCCCATTATAGATCCTCGCCGCCATCGCCGCCAGCTTCCTATTGAACCCATCATCCATCGGCATGTGATGTCCGCCCTCGATCCTAAACACCTTCCTCGCCGACGGCTCAAAGAACTCGATCATCGACTCGCTCTCGTATTTGTACGGATCGCCGCTCGCCAGCACATGGATACTTTCGGTCTGCACCTTGCCCAGCTCCAAACACGCCTTCGCATACGGGCTTCTTCGATCCTTTGGGTCCTTGATCCCTTGAAACGGACAAGTCGGACACACCGTGATGACAAAATCAACCGCTCTCTCTCCGCCCCTCTCCCGCTCGAGGTGTCGCAAGAGATGCAATGCCGCTTTGGCACCCTGCGAAAAGGCGACGACACCATCGAACGGACCTTCGCTGTGGAAAACTTGAAGCATATCGTCAAGAGCTGGGAACGTGTCGAGCTCCTCGAGATCGGGCGGTTGGTCGTGCATCCACTTCAGAAACGGCTCCATGCCGGCGAAGAATGGGAGGACTCCCGGACCCGCGGGACACTCGATGGGAGCCGAGACATAGTGGAGGTCGAAGAACTGGGAGAGGGCAGCGTCGAGCTTGCGGGCTTGGATGCGGAAGATGTCCGGCGTAGTGCCGCCACCGTGGATCATAAGGATTTTCGGTCGCATGGATACCACTCGCAGCTCGTGGGCTGTTGTTCAAAGTGATCTCGTGCGTACTTGCCCGTCACGAGCCAATTTCACTAGGTGTTCGATCGTGTGTCAAGGTATGTCTGGATTTGGTGTCGTGAGAGCTAGAAGTGTCATGAGAAACTAATGAGAACGTGGTCCAGGAAGGCAACTGGAAGAGAAGAAGGTCGGTTCTTCAGCTTCTACGGAGACTTTTCAGCATATCAAGCCCAAATCCCGCCGATGTCTGACTTCCGGCAGCCATACGTCCAAAGTTGTAGTACAACGTAGGAGGTACAAAGGGCCCTTGCAGCTTATATCTCCCAAAGCGGCATGAAGTCTCATGGTTACACTCGCGAATCCGGCAGCTTGGCACGTCGGTATGTCAGACGTTCACTTGTACGACGATAACACAAGAACCGCCTCATCAAGGATGAACGCGAACGTTGTGTGGAAGCGATAACATACAGCAGTTCAACCAAGCGGCTGGACCACGCCCATAGCGGTGTTATGAGTTTCTTCGGCCTCCCGAGCGCCGGCGCCAGTCTCCTTTCTCTACCACGCGACTCCAAGTCTCAGCGCGATCTACGTGCACCCTCTCAAGTTCTTTCATACGATTATCGGTCCTTCTTCCGCCCTGTCCTCTTGCTTCCACGACGATCAACCCCCGTACCGATGAATTTCCAAACAAGCGTTCTTCTCCCGACGAATAGTACGGCCGGCAACACCCACACCATTTCTATACTCAACCATGCGAGATGCCGAAGGTTGACTGGCAACGGTAGAATTGACAAGTCCCGTGGCAGACAAGACAGCCTACCGCGGGTAGATATCATCTTACCAATGGGGAGTCACTTCGGCAGACGGTCGCAAATAGAAGGGCGTTACCAACGCCACTCAGCCGTCAACGACTTCCGCAACCCCATTTTCACGCCACGAAGGAAACAAGGAAGCAAGTGTTTAATCCTCCCACGCCTTCGGCAACGACTAGGCTCTTTGAAACTGGCAATAATATACCTTCGATACCCGTGTGGGAGCCACTGGGCTGAAGAGGGGTTTGTATCAACGAGAGTGACTAACAACAGAGAGAAGAGATGTCGTGTCAGTGTGGGGTGATCTCGAGGCCTATTACGCTGCTTGCATAAGCCAATGCTAACGACGAATTTCAAGACAGATATCAATGAGGAGCTTCAAGTTGCCACGCTCAACGAGACGCACGAGCAAATATCATGATCCACGGGCACGCGACTGCAAATGCACCATTCGTTAGCAAACCCTCCCCGGCCGAACCGCCCCGATCAAACTGTCCACAAAAGAACTATTCCCGAACAAATCATTCTCGAGCGAGCCGTCACTGAGAAGTCCATTCATGACGAAGCATCCCGAGTGAGCGAGCGACCGACATATAAGCTGCTGACGAACGAGCCGCCTACGAACGTACCACCAGATTGTCCAGGAAAGAACACTTTTGTCAGCCATGATAGATGCTTGTATGGCATCTCTGTCTCTACACCCGGGCACACGTGCGGTCTATTTACTATCGCGATGAGCGATCTCTTCCGAAGGTGATACCGGATAACATTCGCTATGATGGGAAGAACAAGCGTGTACAAGACGACGCCGAGAGTCACGGGGCTGAACACCACCGTTCGACGACAACGAACGATAGAAGAAAATGAGGGACAGAAACGATGAGCAGCCGAAAGCGCTGACTCCCTTCAAGCACACAAGAGCGAAAGGCGTATGAACCCTTTGATCCATGCTCTCTCAAGCGGCGCACCGTCTCATAAGGCGAAGCCACTGCTGCTTGAACGGGTTAGTGCAAGTTTGACCGCATATTCCACGTCTGGTACAGCCAGCGGACAAGTTTACCTCCGCTATAGCTCAACGTTTTCCATTTGCTCAGGGAAGTACCTCATTGGCGCGGCCCTATATAACTTCCTGGCTTTGCCGCTGCTTCTTTTCCATTGCCACGCGAGAGTCACGCAAAGGGATCAACTACCTATCAGCCGACCCGGTGTTCGAACGGCTATCAATGAACGTACTGCTGTCAGCGATTGGAAAAGGCGAAACCGTCCTGGTTACATTAACTCCACAAGCGCACTACTCAGCACTCGAAAAGGGGAAAGCAGTCGTCACCCCGACCCTATCGAGATCTGAAAGACGGCTTTGGGGTCATCATGCTTGGCTGAACTCAAATAAGAGCCTGGACCGCAACCTGGTGGAAAAGACAATAACGTGACCCGCGCCTGTACCCTCGTGGCAGCGGTTAAGAGTAGTGACTCCCAGAGCGTTGCGTCCTGAGAATCATAAGATGCCAGTCTAGGGCTAGTGGTGCGTGAAACTGGCACTTGAGTGACTACATCATTGGAGACATGCTATCTGCAAGTCACCGAGCGGAACGACTCTTCCCACTTCTCACCAAGTCAGCCAAGTCAACAAGGATAATCGACGAAAAAAAAGGGAGAGGCGCTTTCACACGAGTGATTCAGGCAAAGTGAAGACATCCTCCACCCCAAGAAAAAGAAAAGAAATTGACAAAAAAAGATGATCCGACCCAGGCTCGATCTGGGGACCTTCAGTGTGTTAGACTGACGTGATAACCAACTACACCATCGGACCGTATTATTTGATATTCGTCGCATCACCCAAAACTTTTCATAATCCTCAAATCATATCGATATTCAATGGCGCCCGTCTTACTTCAGCTTCGACAACTTGACAAGTCGACATTGCGCCGCACAAGGACAAGGATAAGATAGTAAGCGAAAGGCGGCATCTCCAGGTATTGGCAGGAGTTAGGGGTAGGTAATCAGACTGACAAAAATTGCGAAGAAGTTGCGAACACTAGTGGTGTTGGCGAGTGTCACTTACGATACTAGTGAGTGGTGAGTGGTGGCTCGAATCGATCGCACCTGGTCGGCTGGTCCGTCCGTCCGTCCGTCCGGCCGCCATAGGTAGGCGTGCGCATAAGCGAGTGCATGAGCTTACCAACTCCCAACTCCTGACTGGAATCGAAACCCAAGATGGCTTGGTTCCTTTGAGACAAGGCGCAGCTCGAACTACAGTTAATTCGAGTCGTTAATATATCCATTTAATTGGGATTGTGTGACCATCCTCATATGCTCCAAGACAGACAGGAAGTCTGCGAGGTACGAAATCTGTGACAACGAATCAGGATCGCATGCAGAGTGTCGGAGATGTCGGACCGTAGTCGGTTGCAAGATAACTTGAGTTGACTGCATGGAAAGAGCAACACAGCAGTCACGCGAGGGAGCAACAGAAGGAAGGAGTGAAAGAAGGGAAAGAGTGTGTGAACATATGTGCTTAGTTCATCCATCTACTGATTTACTTGCATGCTCTCATTCGTGTGCCTCTCTACCTACCTTATACTACTCATCAATTGTACAATGGACGACAGCCCAAGCAACAAAAGTATTTACCAGAAACCAAAAGCCTGTAACGAAGCAAACCCAAAACTCCATGTCATGTATGCGACAACTGTCAATATGTTTCCCCTGTTCCCCGCCATCCGTCCCTCACAACCCAACAAACGGTTTATCATTCTCCGCCGCCGGCTGTCCAAACACCGACTGCTGCTCCCCCTCTCCATTTGCGCCCATGTCCTGCCTCTGCCCCGGCACCGGCCTTCCCCCAAACATAATCAACTCCTCCCCCTCCTTCTTCTCCTCCGCCCCGGCCTGCTCCGGATGCAGCGGCTTCAGCGCCTGATCCTCGACCCTCATCCGTTCCTTCATCTCCCTCTCCAACTCCTCTCTCCTCCTCTGCTCCTCCTCCGCCTTGCGCACCGCCTCGCCAAACTGCTCCAGCCGGATCGCCTGCTCCTGTTCCTTCAGCTGTTGCTCCCGCAATTTCTCCAGCTCCATCCTCCTCTCCTCCTTCAACTTGTTTTGCTCTTCAATGGAAAGCGACTTGTACGCCTCGACGTCGCGATCCCATTTTTGCACGCAGGCCAAATCCCAATTACATCTCTCGACCTCGCCGTACACGGGGTGTGCGTAGCGCGGGTGTTTGGAAGGCCAATTCGATGCGTGGTAATGGTGTTTGACCAAGGCCCCGCGGGCGTTGTGGTTACCTGAGTCCGAGTGGCCTTGGCCAGCGGCAAAGGCTTCGACGTCTAGTACCAGCACGCGGGAAACGACCTTGGATTCGTCCATGGCGTGGAAGTTGTCCCAGGTGATTTCCTTTTGGCTATGAGAGATGCGATTCATCTCCTTCAGCAAAGCAATGGTGAAAGCCGAGGGTCCCGTGCCAGAAATGACTTCGTCAAAATCGAGGTGCAGTTCCGAGAGGTGCACCTGTTGTTGTGCGGCAAGCGAGTTGAGCCACGTCATGATGTTTTCAACGAGGTTGAGCATGACGGGTAACCGAGGCTTGCACATGAAGGTCCATTGGCAGAAGGACATGCATTTGGACCCTAAAATCGGGTGGTCGCGGAATTCGGGCTGGTCGATCTCGATGCCGACCACCATGTCGATTTCAGAAAGCGAGTCCCAGTAACGTTCGGGCACGAACCGCTTGATGGGCCGCAGAGCCTCGACGTCGATGTCGGCGTAGACGCCACCTTCGGCGTACATGATGAGGTACCGCAGCAAGTCGGCTTTGATGATGGAGATGTTGACGGCCCGATAAAAGTCGATAATGTCCGGGCGGTTGATACCGTGGGGACCGTACTGCTCTTCCACGTAGACCATGTCGTTGTTATCCGTCAAGACCTCGTAGCGGTAGCCCGGGTTCTTGGTGGTCCACGTCTTGGCCGTGTTAAGGTCGCGGGTGGCCATGTTGTAGGGGTCGACCTTCCAGGATTGCCAGATCTTCTTGGGGAAGCCATGGTCAGCAGGATGTTGTTGTTGATGGCCGTTGAGTATGCTGCTGGTCGAGGGAGGCAATGTCACGACGTGGGCGTTGAGCATGAGGAAAAGGAGGACGGCGACGACGGCGTACAGAGGGAGGGCCCGCCGAAGCTGCGTGGGGATCCGGTTCCTGAAGGCCCCCGTCCCCGTCTCGGACATCTGCCTCCACTTGATAGGTATATTGCCCAGAGTGGGCGACAAGGGCGACAGGGGAGATAACGGTGGAGAGCTCATGATCATCCGACTATAACAATAATCTATGTCTGGGGGCTATGACCTGTCGTGTATGTGCAATGCCCCGTATCCGTGGGATGGAACAAGTTTGGGACACGGGGTGGAGGGAACAGGAAGAAACAAGGGAGAAGAAAGAACACAAAACCAAAGCAAAGTCACACGAAGGGGTGGGGGGATGGGGGAAGGACTGGGTATATCAAGGAAACATAATGTATAGGGTGCCCAGGTCCGTTCCAAGGTGTCAGGGGGAGGAGAAGATGGGCGAAGATGGCGAGTAACCAGTAAGCTTCCGTAGAAGCGTGCTGAGTAAACACAGGATTGTCCCTACAGGTATGTAGTAGGTAGGTAGGTAAATACAAGGAATCCGGGCAGCCAGGGGGACTGATCTTGGTCGCATCTAGTTGGGGGTCCCCGATGCACAGACCATTCTGGAGTCGCAACCAACTGTCTGTGATGGCAAGCTGACTATACAGAGCAAACAGTACACATGGCCATTGGTGAGGTGGTTAGTACAGTGCCCTGTCTGTTCATTCCCCAACTCGGCTCCACAGAGCTTAACACCTAAGAAAACCAATCCGTACACAGAAACCGACATACCAACTACCAAGGACTCTTGCACGGATGTCTCCCCCCCCAACATGTCCCCAAGAAATTTGATGGAGACAATACCTTGGCAGATCCTTGCTGAAAGAGGAGGTGACTGGAGCTTCGGTCGGGGATTACCACTGCACCATTTAGAATGGAGCTTCAGCGGGGAATGGATGGATGGATGGATGGATGTCCGGCCCGGGGCTTTCCCTTTGCTGAATGGAATTGGATATGTAACCCGACCAACCAACCTCTTTGCAAATTCCACAGGGGCAGTCCACGCACGCATCTGATAGTGGGGTGACGGAAGCGAAAACAAGCTTTTTTTTTTTGGCTTGTTTTTTTTTTTTTTTTTTTTTTTTTCTTTTTTTTTTTGGGGCGGGAAGAATCCATGGAGTGCGGGGGCCATCAAGACAACTGAGCAGTGTTGATCTTGAGAGACAACGGGGATAGTATGTATCAGAGCTGAGACTGATAGCTAAGAGGACTGGAGGCTATACACCGCAGCTTGTACTGACTCCGTGAGCAATCACATGATTACTCATCTTCTTGTTCTGGCTCTCAAAACTCGGGCGTTGGAGGTAAACAAACTAAATCCTTCCATCATGTTAGTTCTCTGCCTGACTCGACCGGTCAACTGTGGAAATCTCTCCACAAATGTGCCGTGGGTTGGTCGGAGGTTGCTTCTAAATTCAGGAACGACTTGGCGATCGTCAAAGTGGCTGATGGGGTCCGACAATTTCCTCGTGGCCCCCAGTCCCCCCAAGAGGAGACTGAGAGAGAGAGAGAGAGAGAGAGAAAGAGGCGATCCTGTGCAGAAAGCGGTAGGTAGGCACGTACCTGTGTAGGTCGGGTATCGAAGAGGTAGTAGGTAAACCAGTGAGCGTAAACACGAAAGAAAGAATGGAGCCGCAGGCAGGCGGGAATGATAAGGTACCCAGCAAATACCTTTACATGTGTAGTGGCTGCTGATTGGCCTGATTGGGTATTGGTGACGCGGGAGGGTAACATTAGTGGTAACATCGCCGGGGCTTCTTTTTCGTTTTCCCTTCCTAAGTTCTCTGCCACCCTCCGTCGGCCGTTGCCAGGCGCTACTTTCGAAATGAAGCCGTGAAAAAAGCCGCCATCTTTCTTTCCCTTTTTCTTCTCTTGCCCTCAGGTTCGGTTTGTGAATGGTGTGGTGTCGCCAGCCCGGAGCAAATCATGGTTTTCTATATGCTTGTGACAGGGGTCCACCCTACAGATATTCTTCAAAGTGGAACCCGGGACGGGCTGCTTACCTAGGCGGCGCTTGAGCGCATCATGTGAAAGTGATGCCAAGTACATACATGTACCGTGGAAAGCACTCAATTGACTTGGAAAGACGCATGATGTTGAAATGATGGGAGTTCAACTCTTCCCTTTGACCCCGGATTCCGAACATTCACTTGTCCGGCAAAGTGTGTCGGAAGTTGAAGACAACTGAAGATGTGGGTTTGGCCACGAGGAGAAACTGTCTTCAGTTTAGAAAGTCAAATGTCTGTTCGCAGCTCTGGACTTTGGCTGGACTTTCTGTCATGGAGTGTTCGTGCCTTTCTTGTCCTCATTTTCCCCCGCAAACAACCCTGGCGGTCCCCTGATCTGATCCATCCATCCCCGGCCCCGGCCCATCTCCGTTCTCCATCTTCACAAGCGAGGACCTCCCCGTTGCTCTCTCCACTTCCTTCCGCACGGCACTTCCCCCGCATATCGTATCGGACGTGCACTGATCAACTCCCTCTTGAGCGGGTGTTTATCAATTGCCAACCTCGGAAGAATTGGCCTTTGGAGATGGCGAACGCACATTACCCAAAGTCTTGCTTTACCTTTCCAATAATCGAGGTGCCAGATGTTGAAAAGAAGATTTTGCCGACGGGAATTTGTGTCTGTCAACATCCGTCAATCACCGTCCAGCCAACTGAGAAGCAAGCCACACACCCGCCACAACAACTCCGTCCTCAGCCCGCCAAGCACCTCTCCAGCCACACAGCAACCGCATTCGGACATTGCACCAAATTCCATTCGCCGGCTTCCATTTGTTTAGCGGCCACTATCCCCCATTAGCCCCCACTCTTTAGTGGATCAACAATCGCGACAGGTGCTTTATCTCCCTGTAACGGCACGCCTTCAGTGGACTTGGCAGGGGTCATCACCTAACACAGTGACACCAATAACATATTGAGGATTGTTACCTACCCGAGTCTCGGTTGCGCATCCGATAACATCCAATCCCCCCCCCCCCCCCCCCCCCTCCAAGCCACCCGCCAAACAGACCAACCACAACCTCAGCTCGAGGTTGGTACTTACGCGGCTTGGTTTCAAATCCAGAGTCGCGTCTTGTTTCCCCTCCGTGTCCATGCCTGGCGATCTCGACCACGACCTCGACCCCGAAAAGTGGCATGACAACCGAAACTCGTGTCGCTTCCCTCTTCTCCGGAAGCCCATCATCGCCAGCATGACCGCCCTGACCATCCCTTCCTCGACGGCCTCGGGCCTCGTCAATCGCCTTGCAAACATGTTTGCCCTGCCCAGCTTCGATGCGCCCGAAAAGCTGCGACCAACGGCCTACCTCGACGGCCTGCGCGGCTTCGCTGCCTTCCTCGTCTACTGGCACCACCACGAACTCTGGTCGCACGGCCTGGTGCGCGACGCCATCTTCGAGCAAGGCTACGGTTTCGACGGCCAACACTACTTCAGCGCCCTGCCCTTTGTCCGCAACTTCTTTGGCGGCGGCCACTATGCCGTCGCAACCTTCTTCGTCATCTCGGGCTACGTCCTCTCCGTCAAGCCTATGCGCCTGATCCACGCCGGCGAACAAGAAAAGTTGGCCGATAACCTAGCGTCGGCACTGTTCCGACGGTGGCTGCGGCTCTTTATGCCCCTGATTGCCACCACTTTCCTGTTCATGACCTCGTGGCATGCGTTTGGCATCTGGGTCGACTCGGCCAAACCGCAGTCCAACTACCACGACGAGTTCTGGTGGTGGTACGCAGAGGTCAAGAATTTCAGCTTCATCTACCACCTCGGCGGCGAGCCCTGGCTGAGCTACAACTTCCATCTGTGGTCCATCCCGGTGGAATTCAGGGGGTCCATGGTCATCTACACCAGTCTTCTCGCCTTTTCGCGATGCACAAGAAAGGCTAGGCTGTGGTGTCAGGTCGCCTTGATCTTCTACTTTGTCTACATTGTCGACGGAACCCATTACGCCCTCTTTAGCGCCGGCATGCTTCTCAACGATCTGGACTTGTTGGCTATCAAGGATGACCTGCCTAGCTTCCTTACTCAGCTCGAGCCATTCAGCAAGCACCTCTTCTACTCCCTTTTTGTAGTCAGCTTCTACCTCGGAGGCGTGCCCGTTCACACCAAGGACATCAACGACCTGGCCAAGACTCCTGGGTGGTATTACCTGTCATTCCTCAAGCCGCAGGCTGTCTACGATTACAAGTGGTTCTACCTGTTCTGGGCTGGTGTCTTCTTGGTGGTCTCAGTTCCACGCATCCCCTGGCTCAAGCGATTCTTTGAGACGCGCTTCTGCCAGTACTTGGGTCGCATCTCTTTTGCGCTTTACCTGGTCCATGGTCCTATTCTTTGGACGATTGGCGACAGAATCTACACGGCTGTTGGGTGGGCCAGGGAGCCTCAAATTACCATGTTGGCCAACTGGGTCAACATGTTCCCCTTGCCCATGGCTGGACCCTTTGGCCTTGAGATGGCCTTCTTGCTGCCGCATGTCATTCTCTTGCCTTTGACTTTGTACGTCGCCGAGATCTCGACGAGGCTCTTTGACGAGCCTAGCGTTACCTTTCCCAATTGGCTCTACAAGCAGGTATTGGGAAGTGGGCAGCAGCCTACTAGGTTACCTTGAATCACGATTAAGTCATGTATGTAACGAATACGATATAATCAGGACATGAGAGGAGGTTGCTTGAAATTTGATACCAGACGCGCACACATCTAGACAGAAATCACACATTACTATCGGATTGGATATTCACAAAATCTTAATTTCTATTTCGATTTCTACTTGACTTCGCTGTAAAAAAAAAAAAAAAAAAAAAAAAAAAAAAAAAAAAAAAAAAAAAAAAAGAAAAAAAAAAGACAAGACCGACCGGTGCCTGATCCCGTACCGTCCCATCAGAAGTCCAAATCCATCCAGTTGCTCCGTCCGTGGTTCCGTTGGATTCCCCCTCATCACATGTGTCCAACATAAATGCGACCATAGCGTCGCACCCCCAACCCCCAACCCCCACGACCCCTGTTGACCAAGATGGTCGCTCTGAAAGAAAGAATCCCACGAATCCACACCACACTCACTCCCAGTGACGTCGATCGCATGCACGAGTTACATTGCAAATTACACAAAAGGAAGCTCTGAAAAACGGAGCAAACTTCCGGACGCGGCTAGATTGTACATACTTGATCAGATCATCAAGGTGGTGTCCGTTCGTGTAACTGTCGTGCAGGACATGACGGGCCGGAGAGGATGTAACTCCAGTTCATTCTTTTCTTTTTTTTTTTCTTTTTTTTTTCTTTTCCTTCCTCAGCTCCTTGGGCAGGCAACCAACCCACCGCCGCATTTTATTTTGTTTTTTCAAATCGTAACTCTGGAGGGAAACGCTATCAAAGACAGAAATGTGGGTGGTGGTCCTCGCTTTCGAGATCGCTCGCTTTTGTTCTGGGGTTTGTTCCTGACTGTTATGTACGCAGTAGTAGTGTACATACATGCATACATAGGTAGTTGCCGAGGAAGGAACGTCGGTCTGTTGTGTCGACACGTGCTGCTATCTATGTTGGAGATCGTACCTGTACACTATGTACATACATACCAATTGGCGTGTGTATCGCAAAGACTCGGACCGTCGTCGGTCTTGGGAAGCTCGCTTACCTTTCAATGATATATAATCAGACGTATATATGTATGTAGGCATCATGATGTATGTCCCTAATCTGTGCATTTAATGCTTGCAAAAAGGGCTTAAGCGAGCTTCCAAGATGAACGGCCCGGGTTCTTGTGGTATGTGCTTTGTATAGACAAGTCACTGTCCAGAAGGTAAACGAAGGAAGCAGTCTCCCCGAGCGAGTCCCCTCAAAGATCACCACCACCGCTACTGAAGGATCACTGAGGCTGTTGTACTTCCCTCGAGTCTCCACAGATTCTCAGTCCCCAGCACATAGTCAGAGAAATTGTGATTCGAGCATTCTAGCTTGGCTCGCTTGTATTCTCAGTTTCACCTTTTGTTAAGTTGACACTCGAGCCTTTTCATACAGTCCATTGTTACACATCTATTGACACCTCAGCACCTGAAAAATATCACCGCCATGATCGTCAGGGACCTCAGACGTCTCTGCCTCATCATCGGTTCCTTTCTTTGCCTCATCTCCATCACCCGCATCATCTGGGTGTTCCCTTCTCTAGCCGGGACGAGCGGGACCAAAATCCTAACCTCCCTCCTCGGCGACACTTTTGGTCGTTCCGACAGCAAAAGCGGCTCCTCGTCATCAAGGAACCAAGTACCGTACCACGGCGGTGGCAGCAATTCTTCCACTTCGTCTTCATCCAAAGATGGCACCGCCAAATCCTCCCAGACGGGAGCTTCAAACGGCGACAGTATCGCCCCGACGACGAACTCGAACACGCACCACAGCCATCAAACAGTCTACTCAGTCTCCACCCCCAACGGCGCCTACTTTCGCATCCAATTCGCTTCTTCCTCTGATGACGAGCACATCACACCCGCTTTCAACCCCAACATCATCCCCCACCCAACCCGGCCAGGCATCTTCATCGTCGTCGCGCAAAAGTGGCAAGACCCGCTACCTCGCGATCCATCATCCCCTGATGACTCTGCTGAAAGCAAGAAACCACCACCACCACACAAGTTTCAGCACGTAACTACCTCGTCAGAAGTCCACTGTCTCGCTTCTTTCGTTGATATCACCACTTCCCCTTCCCCTCCCACTTCCCAATCCCAATCCCAATCCCAATCAAAACATCCAGCGTCTCAAGAGAAAAAACAAAAGGAAAAGTCAAAAATCCTCCGATGTCTACCGGACCACCCGCCCTACCCGCTCCTGATCTCGGCAACTCCAGGGAACAACTGCGTCGGACCCCTCTTGGGAGTCTTGACGTTCAATGTCGGTCCGCATGATGCGCGAGTGTTTTACGGAGGGGACGGCAAGCCGTATACGATTTTCGGAAGCAATTCGCAGTTTACGTGCTTTGGGATGTGGATGCAGGATTTCCGGGTGGTGGTGGAGTGGTGGGGGGTGCAAGTGGAGGCGTTTGGAGCGGGGGAGGGGTGGCGGGTTGCGGGGGAGTTGCAGCGGCCTGGGGTTCTACCTCTAGGAGCGAGTGAGGCTGGTGATGGAAAAGGAAAGGGGGATGAAAAGGGTAATGAGGAGTTGAGGGCGGCGGGTGTTGCTGTTGATGAGGAGAAACCAGAAATTGCGCCAGGATGGAGCGAGGTGGAAAAAAACTGGTTTGTGTTTTGGGCGCCTCCCCTTCCCCTCGACTCTGGCTCCTCCGACTCCTCCCCAGACTCATCCCACCACAAACCCCAAGATCAACAGCAACTCCAGACATACATCCATTACGACTTTTACCCGCACCGCTCCTTCGCCCTCTTGCACGATGACGGGTCCGCCACTGCCATTCCCTCTTCTTTCATGTCAGCTCACTCCGACGAGAAATGTCTTTCTCACTTCTTGCCTCCCTTACCATCCGCAGAACCAGTGTCAATCCACCAATCGACCAACAGCCTCCGACTCACCCTGTGTAATCGCTCCGAGCCAACATGCGTGGTGACGGAGGAGAATACCTACATCTTGACCATGATCCAGTACAAGACGTTTTACCACTTTCATTCGGAATATGAGCCGTATGTGGTGTTGTTTTCCCAAAAAGCGCCGGGGTTTGAAGTGTTTGGGGTGTCGCGGAAGCCGCTGTGGATCGAGGGGCGAAAGAGAGAGAAAGGAGAGGAGGGACAGGAGAGAACGGACATGTTTTATGTGACTAGTGTTAATTGGCGAGATTACCACGGCGATGACGAACAAGGGGCAGGGTATCATGGGTATCTGGATGATGTTCTGATTATCGGGTTTGGCATTGAGGATAAGGAGAGTGGAGGGATTGATGTGTTGGCTGGGGAGTTGGTCAAGGGGATCGGGATTTGCTCCGAGGTTGTGGGCGATGTGAAAGAGCAGGCGACGACGGTCTCGGTGTTCGGTGGTGGTGAGAAGCAAGTCGAGCAAGGGGAGAACGCTCCTCCGGGGTCTGATGGGTTCCCCGCTCAGGACATTCCACCGGAGATTCCAGCTGATTTTCCGGCCAATTTCCCCGCGGCTGCTCCAGCTCCGGAACCGGTGCAAGCGGATTTCGGTTTGGGACCGGGAGTGCAAATGGACTCTCCGCCGCCGCAACCTCAGCCCGGGTCGCAGAACGGAATCTGATGGGACACACAATACGATGGTGCCTCATTCCTGTTCCAGACCGTCGGGATTTCGGCGTCGGCCGTTGAGCGTTTCTGCCGCAGACCGACAAACACACAGATCGCAATCGCTCAGTCGAGTCGGGAAGGAACATGACGGACAAGACATCACCGGCGCCGAAAAAACGCCACCATCCCGAGACAAAAACTCTTCTTTCTGTTGAGAAATTGGCCTGGATTGACACACGCTGCGGCGCTCACGTGGGCTGCACAACACCACACCTTTCATGTCATCATTATACCCACACTAGTACCACACGATCCGTCCACGCCACCACCATCACCATCAGCCGAGCGTCTTCTTCGCACTGTCTCTTCACACCACCACCACCACCACCACACCACCACTATCGATCTGAAGGAAAAAGATGGTGTATGACATGGGCTGCCTTCAGCCAGCCTTGCCTAGTGTCCTTCCCTTGTGGCTCCCGCTCGCATCTGCGCGGTGACACTGACGGTGACAGTCGCACACTTTACCCAACCCTCTTACACTGCGCGCAACCACATACTAGCACACAAGACCACAAGGGCGATACAAAGTTGGTGTTTGGTGTTCATGTCGGATGCCGTCCGTCGTCACTCATGGCCGAATGCGTTCGACGAATGCAGGTGTGGCAGTTCCGACATACGCCAGCTCTATACGGTCTGCAGCCAGACGCAAGCAAGGTGTGAAGAAGGTGTGTGCAGGTGTGTGCAGGTGAGACACCGAGCCGTTACTAAGGCGGACGTCTCTACCTAGAGGCACTATCTACCACGGGACTTGGCGTTGCAAAGTTCTTATCGTCAGGTGTTCAATATTTCCCTGTCGCTCCATCAAGTATTTCAGTTCTTTCCGGATGTGGTCTGGCTGTCACGATCCGTACCAAGGGATGAAAAAGACATGTCTTCTATTCATTGCGAGTACCAGCCAGCGAAATCGGATCCTTCTCCCTACCTCAATATCCCTGAGAATGGACGGGGATCACCGGCTTGTGTGCTGGGTGAGGGTCAAGTCTATCCAGGTCTCTGCAAAGTCAAGGGCACAACGACAAACCCTCGCGTCCTCGGTAGGACTCACATCTCGTTCCCCATCACACGCTCCGGCGACAGAAACAACTCGGCTGAAAGTCGCAAGTACTCACGCAAATCATCAGTTCGTCAAAAGCAGTGGAGGACAAAAAGGGGAAAAATAAGCGCTTGTACGGCGCAGGTATATCCTATACCTCCACAAGTCGCTTACGCTCCACTTAGGTTTCAGTTCGGCTGCGATCTGCAGACTGCAAGGGACAGTCCTACGCTTACGCAATGGTCATCCTCAGGACACCATCACGACCATCATCATCTTGTCTGCTCACCTCTCTGCTCACCTCGTCAACCCCCTGTTTTCTCGCCTGGACACACCGATACCTTTCGAACAAGTCACTAGGGTATGTCCGAGTTTACACCAGCCTCATCTCGTCATTCCGTCATCCAGCCAGACAAGCCACGTTCACGGTCTCACGGTGAACGCCGCGACTCGTGATAGCCTTGGCTTCAGTTCGTACTCATATGGACGGTGAGTCCGGTGTACCATGGCCACAAGGCTTGGTGGCTGGGTGCACAATCTTGTTCAGCAAGTGACGTTGGTCGCTACGGTGCGGCTGACGATCATTCTCAGTCTCACTCTGGTCATGTCATACTGGGAGTTGCGGTTGGAAGTTGGATTGCGTGTTCGTGGGCGGTCGACCATTGACCTGGACGAGGCTAGTTGTTGCCGTGCAGATACTCTGCCTTTCCAGCCGAATTGATGAGAGGGTTCGATGAGATTGTCCATTTGGGATCCAGACGAGTGCTATGTAAAGGACCTTTGAGAAGCGGGAGGTGAAGGACAAGGTTGCCTAGAAGATTGCTTGGGTGCTGCTCTGGGGTTTCAGCATACATTACAAGGACAGCGAACATTAAAGGCACCAAGGACCCGGTTCAGTAGGAGTTCACTAAACCTGTAATGCCAGATTCTTTGCTTGATGGCTACTTTTCCTAGCAGTATATGGACTGTCGGTTTTCCTGTGATAGAATACCTTCTATGTCGTAACCCTTCCGGTGCATCTCTTCCTTCAAACTCTGGTCCTTTTCCTTGCGTCGCGATGTCCGTTCATTACCTATGTACCTAGGGTAGGTCACTATTAGACCCCTAGCAGAAAAGAGTAGTAGCATCAGTTGAATACAGGCCTGTGTGGTGACTGCAGTCCTTCCTCCCCTCTCGACACACAATGTTAAAACAATAGCATTATACGATTTCGCGTCTTCCTTTTTTTTTTTCCTGGAACAAGGTGCCACGAAAGAGCAGGACACGTGGATGTTTCGTTTTGTTTCGTGATCATGCCGAAACCGAAACCGAACCGTTCTTTACAACACGGGCAGGCATACAATCTCCCTAGAAGTAGCCAGGCTGGAAAGCGGCCTCCAGCAGCTGAACCAGCACCACATCACCACCATCACTACGGTTGATGGCATCCACTTGTAAGTATTCGCAGGATAATAGGTAGGATTTGACACAAAACCGTTCAAAACGGCCCCCACTCATAGTCCCAAACCCAAACTGCTGCTGCCTGCGCCGCCCGACAGACACCCCGCCGACACTTGGTTTTACGAACTTGCATCCGCGCCCCCTCGGCGCCGATAGTCATCTCGTCTCGCCGCAGGTAACTAACCCTCGACCTTTTGTTTCGGCTTTAGTTGTTTTAATGTGACTGTTGTAAGTTTTGTCCCCTTGTTGGGTGACCAATGTCTCGTCCCAAAAAGGAAATGCGGCGACCTAGTATACATAGTAGAGCGTGTAAGTCATTGGACTTGACCTGGCACCTACCTCTCCCTGTCCTGGCTCGCTGGCTACCTACCTAGCTGTGCTAGCGTAGGCGGCAGTGCTTGCAAGGAAAGGGGTAACGCTGCAAGAAAAACAGGCGGGGGTCCTTAAAGTCTCAGAAAGCAGGGACCGTAGACCACACAGAGCGTGCAGGATTGGCAGGGTCCTTCGCTGGAAGCAGCCCGGCGCAGACGCGGGTGGTGCCTGGGCGGTGCTTCTTGCTGGTGCTTGCTGGTGCTTGCAGGGTCCTGCTGGGGTGTCTCATATGGAGGGGTATATACTACCTAGTCTAGAGGGGTGTATATACCCTAACAGGAATGCGTGCCAATATAACCAAAATCTGTTACTGCACAGTGGAGCTAGCCACAGTACTTGCTCACAGGGACCACTGCAGTGGACACACCCACGCGGGCAAAACTCCGACGGCGATCTCCTCCGCTTTCTCCTCCTCGGTCCACACTCCGTGAGTCCATCCGTCTGCTGCCACCTCGTGGGCCAATGTCGTCATTGCTCAAAGAATGCGCAGGCAACATACCTAACATCAATGGTCATTGTTTGGCATTCTTGTTGTTAGGTTCATGGGATCTTATGTATGGCGCAGGATGTTCGCCGCGATTCGATCCATGTCGGCCACCAGTTGGCCCGATCATTCGCTACAAGGAGGGCAAATCGGATATACCCGAAGGGCAAAGGCCCGTCTGCCCGCCTGAAAGTGCAAACAAAACAAGAAGATCCAAGCAAGAAAAGCAGTGAGTGAGGCGATGACGACAAGGTAAAGATGAAGATGAAGATGCACATCATCCAAGACCAAGACCCCTTTTTTCGCACTTGTTTTTTTAGGATAGGTACGGAACACGCATACGTTTTCGGTCTTGTTATTCGCCACTACGCATATACTGTGTAGTAGTAGTTTGGATCCAAGAAATGGGCACTGAATCTCGTGATATATACAGGGTCATGTATGATGATCTCTTCGTGTTGTATGTAGTGTACGATGCCATCTGTCCCTGTTCTTCTAAAGTTCAACGAGACGGGGGGATTGACCGAAGCGAAGACAACGCTAGACTACCACGGTACATTACCACGGTACGAAACGATGCTTCTCGTCATCGTACATGTAAACTTAAAAGAAAAACCGGGATACGTACGACCCTTAAAGATCGTCGGTTACCTTCGCATCAACCGACTCGCATCCATCAACCGACTTGTATCATTCAATCAATCTGCTGGCGGGCGGCGGCGCGACAGTGCGGCGGTGCCTGAAATGCCAAGCATCCATAAGACAAGTCGAACCCGCTGACCATTTGCTTTGCGACTATTCGACTGGTGCACGTAGTGTAGAGGTAAAATGCATGGAGGGTCGTGATGCTACATCGCCAAGTCGCAACGTCAATAGGAGTGAACTCACTGTATGGTACTTTTTCGACGCCGCAATTGACCCCAAGAGGTTGGTACATAAGTGGCAGAGTAGGAGCCCTCACAGGGCAGGTGGGCGCTACTTATGCATGCAGAGCAATGCAGAGCGTAAGCGCGGCGTTGTAGTGGGAGGTACATGTAAAGTGAGGGTTTGGGTTGGGGTTGGAGGTGAAGATGGGAATGGTATCATTATTGGATGTGCACATGAAAAACTGTTGTACGAACTTGGATTGCTAAAGGGAGAGAGAAATTGGATCATAGATGATTAGAAAACCACAGCGTTGGTGCAAGAAAAACGGGAACAAATTGGTGCATATGAGCAAAGGTCATGTATGTTGACTATCGTAAGGTATCGCTGACAAAAGAAAAAAAATCCAAGTAAAGTTTGATCGTTGTAAAAAAAAAAAAAAACCAAGACTGAATCGCGGTGTAAAGTCCACAATGTGAAGTATTCCGAATGATACACTGGCACGACCTTTCGATAGCGCCGTCGAAGATTATATTTTGTCGATTTTCATATTTCCGTTCATCGTGGTTGCTCTTCCCTAGCTCCTACCAAGCTCCTCCATGACCACTCAATGATAATAGCTGTAGCGGTCCCCTTCCCACACCTTGGGGCCCCTCTCCCTTCCGTGCCGTGCAGTGCTTCCACCATTATCCCTCTCAAACCTGCTCTTCAACCGATTGTAATCGATACCTTCCACTGCAGTCCCAGTGAGAGACGAAGATACGTTGCTCTCCCTCTCCCTGTCCCGAGTGGAGGATCCCCTGAGCCCCAAGCTCTCTACTGACCTCCTCAACTCCTCGACAGTCATGTCCACCTCTGCTCCCTTTCCCTTGTTGTTGCGTTCCTTGCTACGGTCCTTGCTCTCCTCGCGGGCACCAGCAGGCTTCTTGAGAATGCCCTTGAGCTCAGGCTGGTTGGTGCCCTGCTCTGTGGTCGGCTTGTTGGAGCGGCTGGCGATCTCGGCGTTCTGCTGCTTGATCTTGGACTCGACTTCATCAGCAAAGCGAACGCCGACGGACGAGGCGCGAGACCGAGATCCGCCCGAAACGGTTCTTGGGCGAGGTGTACGGCCGGCATCATCATTACGAGAAGAGACGCTGTTCCTCCGGCGGAGTGACTCCATGCCGCTGGGGCCGTTGGGGCTGGATCCGTAGCGGCCGGGGTTGTGGCTAGAGAGGGGAGGGCGAGAGGAGGTAGGGATGCCGGTAGTGGCCGTGGTGGAAACGGCATCAGAGGGCTTGTGAGCACGACGACGTCGACGGTCCTCGTCAGTGGGGTTGCTCACGATAACATCGTAGCCGCGGTCGCTCTTGGAGTGCTCACGGTAGGGAATACTAGGGCTGCGCTTAGGGCTGGGTTCGCGATCGTGGGGGGAGCGCCGACGAGTCTTGTCCTCATGAGGGACGCCGAGGGTCTGCGTGAGCACGACGGAGGGACGCGTGTAAACATCCGACTTGTGCTTGCTGTCAGTTGGGCTGCTGCTATACTTGTAATTCGGGTAGTCGTCGTTGTGTTTGGTGGAGCGCGCAGGGTCGGTGACTCGAGTTCCATGGAGGTAACCAGAGTCCCGCTTGCCTATGGGCGAAGGCTCCTTGGATTCGCGAGGTGTGGGCGGCAGATGCGAAGGCAGGTATCCGCCGTACCTGGGCTCGCTTCTGCTTGACGGATAGTGCTTCCTGATCTCAGGAACAGCGCACAATCCGTCGGGCCTGCAGGCAAAAACAGTCTCGTTGACAACCCGAGCGGAGGCGTCGTAGGTGATATCCTTGACGCACATCTTGTCGTTGGTTTTGGTACCAGATAAGAAGGTTTCTGAAAATGCTGGAGATGTAGGAGACGGAGGAGCAAGGTGTCCCCGGTGGGAATGTGAGTGCGAGTATCGACAATGAGGCTCAAACTCGGTGCCAAAGGCTGGTGATGGAAGAGGTGTTGGCAATGATGTAGTGTGTCTGTGATGATGTGAGGGGTCGTAAACTATGTTCTCGATTCGTACGTCCGGATACCGATCCATGAAGTCGATGTCAGTCGGCCGTGTCCGAGTTAAAGTTGTCCTTTGGGTACTGATATCTCAAAGACATGGGAACATGCAACGACGGTCGTGGTTGGGTTTGTGGGTGACAACTTGTCGATGAGACCGAGTCTGATGCGGCGAGGTCACTGGAGTGTTGATGTTGTTGTTGTGTTGAGTTGTTGTGTGGATCACCGGGCCTTGGCCTGAGGTGTAAATCCGTTTGGAGATGTTGGTAACAGATTGTGACTGACTTGTCGATGAAGATGATGGAGAGGAGGTGAGGATCAAGGTCGGGCCAAGTGGCGGGCGGCCTGCTACTTATATGGACTTTGGTGTGTGGTAAAGGTGAGCCGGAGTCTCGAGAGGTGTCATCAGCTTCTACTTGGTGTAGGTGTTGTGTAGGTGGGCAGCCTGGGCGTGTGCCAGACCACGCAAAGTCTCACACTGTCCGCAGGGGCAGTTCATGACCCACGCACGAACTAGCGGGTGTAGCGAAGAGATGCCTCATAGGTTCACCTCGATCCACACCCCTCCCCAGGCAGTAACTGATCATGCTTCAATGAGAATCCGGCGAACTCGACTGCCTCCAGGCCGCCGGTCGGCAAAAGAGTCACTTCTCTGCGAAGTGGAGGTGGAAGTGGAGGGTCGGGGGGGGGGGTGTGTGTAGTACGAGCTGCATCGCCCCCTGTCCAATCATCAACAGCACAGCCCGAGCCCAGAAGGGCTGAGCTACCCACATCGTGGTAACTCTTGTAACCAGCCGTTCTAGTACAGCGCGCCTTTTCTCTTCTCCATTTTTTTTCTGGGATTATTCCGGGGTTCTCGCGCCGGTGGAAATGCCAGAATCTGGAAGAAATGTTGGATCGAAGATAAACGATGACCGCATCAGGAAAAGGGTGGACATGGGAATAGTTACACCACACTGGCGATGTCGAAAGGGCAGGGATGGCGAGCCAAGAGGGAGCCGAGACTAGGACGTCCTAAAGCCCTGTGATTTCCTGTCATCTTGTACTTTTTCCAGGCTTCACTCCCCACCATCACGACCCCTGGTTGCCCACCCCTCAACACCACCCTCGCTCCTCCCCGCAACCGTCCTGCCGTCATTGTGGTGAAGGAGATGTTTGTGAATGTTGGCGACTGATGAAACTAGGGTTCTCATCAGAGGCAACCCATTGGCTGTGCGAAGGATTCATCAAGCTTGAGCCGGAAGGAGGTGGTAGGAAGGACAAAAGTTCACCACCGGAATGGCTGTCGCCAGGGAGACATGCTGCGCCAACATCGAGTTTGTTGATTCTTCACACTCTGGATGCAAAAGCCGGAAAAGCAGTACAGTGCAGACCTACCAAGTACGGAGTTCATCACCGGGTAGGACTTTCTTCTAGAGATCTTCTGACGACAGCACTTTCAGACCATGGTTCTCCGTTCGGCGTCCTGACTCACTGGAGTCCACCGTTCGTGTCCCGAGTCCTTCACATACGTACCGCTTGTGTCGGACTCTTCTCAAGGGTGTGACAGGGCAGACAGGGGTGAGGACGACCCTGTCGCATCAAGCGCCACAGGTATTCGGCAGCCTGGATGAGCGGCCAGTCATCTCAACAAACCGCATTACGGTACCCCGCAACCACCGGCATGTCACCGCCATCTGCAAGTGATTAGCGTGAGTGAAAGCAGAGCCCGATTCGAGGACAGCGCTGGAGTAGACAATTGATGAGTGCAATAGGTGCGATTTGATCTCAGTGCAAAAGCAGGTACACACAGGGCAAACGTGCAGCAAAACCATTGCTGGCGCCGCGGGGGCCTTGCATCGTTGGACGAAGACCCGGCTAGTGTACTTGCAAAGTGGAAGGTCTGGGGCTATGCTCTGCTAGATTGGTTCCAGCCCTAAAAGTGGGAGGAGGACTTGGCTGGGGCTACCGTGGAGGACCTCAGGACACAGTGAGGGTCTGAGGGCGCTGAGCTTTCCCCCTTTGGGACAGGTTTCGCACCCTTTACCAATCTAGAATGTTGATCATCGAGTCACTTGACGAGGACTGACTGGGTGATGTAATGAGGGTATCCGGTATCTGTCTTTCTTGATGCTGTCCAGCACTGATTACACCTCAGCCTCTATTCCAGGATGTTAGTTCCACGACAGTGACAAAAGGGCGTCTGCCAAACCGGCGTCTGCCAAGGCAATTTTGTGCCAGTCACTTGATGGACCAAGCGCTGTGGCAGACGGTGGGAGAAGGAAGAGCGGGAAAGCCGTATGTAGGAGTTTGGTAACGGTGCCGTTCGCGTTTCAAAACCAGCAAAATGGATACCAATCGAAGCGCTCAATGACCCGAAAGCATGTTCCTTTCTGGAAAGCAAAAGAAATTGCCAGTGCCATCTTTGACAGCTCCATCTTGGCAGTTTCTGGCCACTTTTGCTGGTACTTTGGGCTGGTGCATGGGCTTGTCGTACAAGACGATAATGATGACACAAACACGCCAGCAAGGCTAACTTTGGCTCCCAGATGAGCGTATTGATCGGCTGTTCCAAGTGTGTCGCTGGGCTAGGCATGGAATGATGCGGGCAACGACACAATCGCCCAGCCTTGTCCAGGAAGGTCCTTGATGTCAGTTCCTAAGCCGCATGACCAAGTTCCAGGCAGCATTACGGCGGAGAGGGGAGGTGTGATGACACGGGTGTTTGTCAGTGTCAGATTTTGACCGAAGTGAAGATGCTGTAGTGGATTGTGTGTGAGATTCGTATGCCACGGCTGAAGGGAGCAAGGGCCAGTCCCCTGCATGTCTCTCCACTGCCCATCGGCCTCTGCTCAAAAAAGAGGTGTACGGAACGGCATATGTCAATGAGATGGGACTGGCCGCTCATGTTGGTCATTCCAGAAGCATCGTGTTCCTTCGGACCTCCTCGTGGACTCCCTCTTGGATGCCATGACAGAGACCAAATGTACACCCTTTGGGTTAGGTGGATGAGCTGACGAACTAGAAAGAGGCAGGCGGCTATGCCCACCAGTCAAAATCCGGCTAGCAATTTGGAATATGAAGGATGGACGTTGAAACACCCAAGCCTGCAGCAATGCAGGTCCGTAGCCGCCAACTCGAAAGATGGTCTCGTCTCGACTGGTGTCCTAAGTCTGGCTGCCATGCAAGACGGTTGAGCTTCTTCCGGACGTGTATGCAGAACGCCGTCGCCGTCGAGGTCGTGCCCGAATGGTGGACGGGGATATCGCCGAATGCCTCCGAAATGACAGAATGCGAGTCGACGACGTTGAAAGGGTCGAGAGAGGCAGCCGAGACATGGAACCCTTTCGAGTAGCGCGTCTAATGCGCTTACTCGCTTGGTCCGAGCATGGCCACCACCGGGGTTAGCCGCCAACAGTGGATGGTCGCAGTAGTGCCTAGTCGTCGCAATGGGCAACGCCGCGGTGTGTCTTTATTGCCAGTCATATTCGTCTGGGCGTGAATGTGGGTGGCAGCCAACAGATGATGAACAGTTAATGTGTGTAGCAACAGGCTGCGGTACTGCGCCGCGGTCGGTCTGGACTGTTCTGATTCTGCGTGTGTGTGAATCAAGTTAGCCCATGGCAGATTTCAGTATTCCACCTCGTTTGGCGTCGCAAGCTGAAAACGGCTGCATTGATGTTGTGGTTGTCAATGCGGTGATTAAGCTTGCGGATGTTGGATCAAGGAACAGAAAGCGGGCAGGTAGGTAATTACTACACTTGGCTCTAGCAGATGGCCGTTGACTCGGAACTGAATGTCGAATGTGTCTGGATGAGAGTGCCCGAATCGCGTGTTTGTTTGTTTGTTCAGTTGGCGGAAGGAGAGTTCGGACCGTAGCCGAGCATGGGAAAAATCTGCCAATGTGCGTCGGTCGGAGCGGAAGAATATCACACCACGAACAAAGTCCTTCAAACCGGGCAGATGGGAAGTCACGATTGCTGATGGTTGGTTAGGTTGTCAGTCACGCCGTTCTTACGGAGAGTGAGGAGAGTGAGTGGTCTGCCCCGTCGCAACGCTCTTTCCCTGATGACGATCTATCTGGTGATTGGGTGGGGTCCAGTGTTCCGTTGCCGAAGTCGTTGGGTATCTTACAAAACTTAACACAATACCAGCTTCTCTGTGGCCCAAAAATACTGTGTGGTCCAGGCGTTTCGGTAACAGAGCTGTATTGGAAAGCGGAGTTCCGCTTATCGTCACTCATCCTTATCGCCAGGCAGGCACCAGCACCGAGCAACCCCCTCACTTTCTCAATTCCATCACAAATTTCAGTTTCGTCGCGACAAATGGAGAGAACAACGCAAAATCAATTCGACGTTCGAATTGAGAACGCAACTACCTTATAACTAATCGTCGCTAATCATCAGCAGAATAATCCAATCCAGCCCTTTCTTTTCTTCACGAAACCTGACTTGACATCATAAAAGCCGTCCAGTACCCTTGTCCCGTCCAATTGTTGTATCCCATGTCGCCATTCAATTTGACCAAAAGTCAGGCCGACGAAGCCGCTCAACCAGACGCCAGAAACACCCAAACTCAAAATTACCCGGTATATATTTCCGTTCCGCGCTCCGTCTATCACCCGTCATCCATTACTCATCCTTGATTACTATTATCAATTCGGCAAAATCACTTGCCGATGCCGCGGACCTTGAACCCGAGCGATTGGAGCTCAATGGGATCGACGACGTTGCGACCGTCAAACACCCATCGGGGTTCCTGCATCAGCGACGCCGCCTCGGCCCAGTTGACTGGTTCCTGACTGATCTCCTCCAGCATGGATGCCGCCAAACCAAAGATCTCGAATCCTTCAGCAGTAGCCTCGGGCTTGAGTCTGTGGAGAGGGTCCTCGTCGGTAATGTTGAGGTCGCGCGCAACCATGGCCTCCAGCTCCAAGATGGCCATCTCGGTGAGCTTGCCGTTAACAAAGGTCTTGGTCAGTGGCTGAGACGGTGTCTTGACGGGTTTCTTTGTCGAGCGACCGAGCTGGGCGCCGCGGAACTGCTTCCACTGGGTCAGGATGCACACAGCGCTCGCTTGCTTGACAGATTCGCGCCAGTTGCTGCAAATCTTGACACGCTCCAGTTGCGCCTTGGTCAAGCCGATCTTCTCAATCTCCTCCATGATCTCGTTTGCGGCGCACCCAGGGTCGAAGATGCCAATCTCCAACGGCATCTCCTCCGCCAGGCTCTTGATGATGTGCACCGCAATGCTGTTGCGCGTGTCGTTGGTGCCGTCCTTGAAAGCGAAGCCCAGCACGGAAATCTTCTTTCCGCGCAGCGATCCGTTCAACTCCTTGACAACCCTGTGCGCATACCTCTCACGCTGATACTCGTTGATCTTCAGAATACCCAGCCAGTAGTCGGCGACCACATCCAGGTGCAGCTCCCTTGCCAGATACGAGAGGTTGAGGATATCCTTCTCAAAACAAGATCCACCAAAACCCACACCTGCCTGGAGGAACTTGGGCCCGATTCGTGAATCCTGCCCGAGGGCCAGGCTGACATCGTCCACGTCCGATCCCAGACCAATCTCCTCGCACATGGCGCTCACAGCGTTCATGCTGCTGATACGCTGGGCCAGCATCGTGTTGGCGACAAGCTTCGACAGCTCACTGCTAAAGGTGTTGACGGTAATGAGACGTTCTTGAGGAACCCACGCGGCATATACGTTCTTGAGACTCTCGGCCGCTTTCATGCCGGCCAAGGTGCGGGCACTGCCAATGAGGATGCGATCCGGGTGCATGAGGTTCTCGACGGCGGTGCCCTCGGCCAGGAACTCGGGGTTCGATAGAATCTCAAACTCGTCATTGGGGCGGTAGTATTTGAACTAGTCGCTGTCAGCATCCTGTCTCCAGTCAAGGCATCTCGATCAAGGCCACTCACAATATCTTGAATGACACGAGCTGTGCCGCATGGGACAGTACTCTTTTCGACAATGATGGCTCCCTTCTTGGCGTGTTGCGCGACGGTCCTGCTAGCACTTTCCACCATGCTGATATCGGCCATCGACCCGGCTCCCAGACCATAGGTCTTGGTGGGTGTGTTGACGCAGATGAAGATGACATCGGCCACCTCGATGGCTTCGTTCACCTTGGTTGAGAATACCAGGTTGGGGCTGCGAGCGTCGAGCTTGAAGGATCTGGGAAGCCCCGGAATCTTCACCATGGTGTCTACCGTACCATCGCGAGCTGTCCTTACAACCTTCAACAAACCATCCTCGTGAATTGGGAGCTGGCTCGAGTTCCAAGCCGCAATTCGCTGCTCGTTCAGATCAACAACGTTGACCGTGATGTCTGGGTTGTGGTAGGCAATGACGGCGGCAGTTGGTCCACCTATATGGTCAAAGTCAGCAATCTCCCCTCTCCGCGGAACACATCGGACCGGAAAACATACCAACAAATCCTGCGCCAACGAAGCAGATGCTCTTCACTGACTTGGTCACAGTAGGCAGCACCTCAGCCACATCTACTCGTGGAGCAGTCTCGACCTTCTCAGTCTGAAACCTCACCTTGAGTTCTGGCGAGCCTGACCGTGTGCTAGGCGGTGAAGTGTTTGCGCTTTCCGGAGACCACGGATGGGCGGTCCACGAGCCTGGTGTCGAGGCACCCGGGCTCAAAGCGGAAGCGAGCGACTGGGTGCTGGGGAGTGATCTAGTAAGAGGGCCTGGTGATGGGGTAAGCAAGGGCGACTGGGGGCCCTCCCGGCGGGAGCAACAGCAATGGTGAGTGTGGTTGGCGTCCATGTTGCCCCGATGTGCTGCTGATCACAGAGGAAAAGAGAGTGAAAAGAGGACTTGATACGTGAGTGTTGTCCGAATGTCTTGGAGCGATGTGCTTTGCCGCCAAGGGTTAAGGCTGGTGGGAGTGTCTCGGGGATATTGTTATATATCCTCTGTCCGGAAGAGGTGCTCGAGTCTGTACCCGATGCAGTGAGCAATTATCTTTGCCATCTCCCGAGTTTTCTAGCACCATGTCGGGCTACGGCTTCTCGTCACAACATGATTTCTTCATGGGCTCGACGCAGAAACACCAGTCTCGGCCAGGGGTCACCCATGGCAGAAGCCATCACGCATCCGGGTGTCGTCACAGTCCATCAGCAGTCCGTCGGTTGTCCGCCTTCTCACCGGCACCATTGTTCCCTAGCACTGGGTGGGATTACCCATGATCCACCCATGCTGGACTGGGGCCAGAAAAAGTGCCAAGCTCACTTATTCCCTCGGGCATCTACCTGGTGTCACCACTTTCTGAACACCGACAGGTCCGGCACCTTGGACTGGTCCCCGAGCCTCGTTCTCATTCGTCTCTTTCCCCAGGTACGCACCGCTCTGAGAAAGTGTTGTTTCAGCACGATAAAGTGGGGGATCTTCGTGACTGGGGGATGGAATACCCCTGGGTGCGGTAAGGACAAGTACCCACCGCGATGAATACCACACAGATGTACATCCTCGACGATCCGGCACACAAAGCTAGCACCAAAAGCATTGCTCCTGCATTCTCTCGACCCCCACCTTTTTTCTTTGACTCGCCAGACTCGCACCTCCTACTGTGTTCTCCCACGCACTTACACAATACACTACCAGTACATAACTTGGGAGATGAGTTGCGACCTCAGGGATCCCATAACCAAGGTCGAGAGTGGAGCACTGGTCTAGACGTTTCTTTCAGCTGTCCACAGTCTATGCTCACCGTTCCTTTTCTGCGCGTAGCTTTTCTCTTGCGCAATGTTACTGAAATGAGCCGATGAAAGCCCGCTGGTGATCTTAGATGAGGCGATGATGGGCACATCTTGTCGCTTCCTGCCGCTCAAGCTAAACTCGCCCATCTGAAGGGCCGATCGCAATGCAACCGAGTTGGAGGCTTTTGTTAAGTCTGGGCTCCATTGCCCACCCGCAAAACAGTCCGGCCGGAGTTTGTTTATTGGGCAGTCCCCAGATAAGGGGATCGGCGGCGGCTTTAAACATGGGGTTGGACGGGCTAGACAGGGGACACCGATGCCAGCAGCCAGGGCGGCCCCGTGACGCCCTACGCATTACGGATTAGTGCCTACTTGGCACGTGATGGGCTATGGTTGTTTGCCAACGCGGCCGCAGTACTCGATAGAGTGGTACCGCTGAGCTGTCACCAATGGAGTCGCCAATCATACACTACACGGTCCCGGACCTGACTCGGCAGGGCCCTGACGCAGCGAGCAACCCTTGCTTCACATCATCTACAATACACTACAAACGCGATAAAGTCGGGGGAGATTAGCGATGGCGGAAATCCACCGTCTGACCGCCGCCATCACCAACGAACCGCCGACAAACCTTAGTCTACAACACAGCAACCGCCAACCGCAAACAATGTGATAATGGACATGCTGGCCTTGTCAGCGAATCCCGGCCCCTTTTTCTCGGAACCATGGGATGCAGATGCTTGTGGTAGTACAGAAGCGGGTTTGTGCTGCTCCAAACGACGCCCTCCCTCGTTTTTTTCTTTGTTACCCAGAACCTACATCCTCCATTGATCCCGACTTCGACATTATCACTAAAGACAGCTCTCGAGATTGTTCCAGTTCGGCAAATGCAATGGCGGCGCTAGCTCTCCAACCACGTCTGCGCTTGTCGCTGCTAGCACGTCTAGCTGTGCTGCTAGCTGTCGGCCTATGGGGCCAGACCACTGCCGGAGCCTACGATGCCACCGTTTGCGGGCAAATGGGTTACACGATACCTTTCAACAACATGACCTGTATGTCTCCGCTCTTCATTCAGCACTCTTTCAATAGTCCAGTTCCAGTCAGCCTCAGCTCGTGTCTAGTCAGGCACGCCATACTCGCTTCGTTCAGTTCACACGCCTAATCTTCCCACGCAAAATAACTTACAGTCAACGCCGACGCCTGGAACCCTGACGTCAAAGGATTCCAATGCATATCCGTAAGTCGATGACCCTTCTTCAGTGTGTTTTGTCTCACCTTGGACTGACTTTTCTTGTCCCCACTATCTTCAGGTCCAAGACTCACCGCCTGCTTTTGCGGCAACCTGGTCGTGGTCGTCGAATCCGGAGATGGTCCACTCCTACCCCCACGTGAAGCTGACGGCTCCTGGTCTGCCGACACCCTTGTCCAACATCTCGGCATTGGTTCTCTCCGCTCAATGGTCCATGGGTCCGGGGTCGAAGCCTCGCCCGGCGCGGGTGGTTGACCATGACGGCCTGACCAACGACGGCACATCTGCCAATGTGGCGTTCGACATGTTCGCTGATCGTGATGTCGCCAAGGCACTCAACGAGCAGACTGCAGAGACCGAGATAATGATCTGGGTGGGGAAGTTTGGCCATGCAGAACCACTCGGGTTCGACGCGAACATGACCAAGACGTGCTTCACCCAGACTATCGGGGACGCAGAATTGTAAGTTTTTGCAAATCACCCGAGAAGCGGCCGGTCCAGGCCGCACTGTCCCGGTCGACGGCTGGGAAAGCAGACTCTAACGAAATGTTGTACCCAGTGTCTTGTATCAGGGCCATAATGAGAGAGGTACCAACGTTTTCACCTGGGTAGCGTCGGCCAATCACACCACCTTTACGGCGGAAGTATCGCCGTTGTTGCAATACCTATGGCGCAACAGCCTGGTATCAGCCAAATCTCATCTCGGCTTGGTGTCTTTTGGGTCGGAGGCGTACCATTCAGAAGGCACCGTCACCTTCTCTGCATCGGAGTTCGACATGGACCTGGTTACGGGCGCGGCTCCGAAGCTCGCAGTCGGCCACCTGTGTTCTCCAGCGGCATCCACCAATCCTCCACAATGGTTGTTCTCTAGCGCCTTCATTATGAGCGCTACTCTACTCTATCTGATATCGTAGCCAAGACATTAACTAATACACTAGTGTGCTCCATAAACCTTATTCAGCCGAGTCGGTCAGTGACATGAGTGGCACGGGCCATTGCTGCACAGTCTAGAGGGAGATTTGTGAAGCGAGTGAGGCCTCGAACGATACAATGAACAAAGCGGTTCGCACTCAAATCTGCGCTGCATCAGCCTATTTACAGGCTACGGGGAAGGTCCTGGGAAAATCCAGGGCCGCTGCATGCTCCAGACACGCCTCGTAAGCGCCATCCCGAGGCTTTAATATCCAGCATCCCTGTATCAAATTGCACATCACACAGCACGGTACACTGCATATCTTTCCCTTCTCTTAATTTGCTTCAAGGAAGGTCGGATGTTGGGAGACTTGTTGGCTGGCCCCAGGTACACCGTACGGGACTCACCGCCCCTGGCCATGAAGGTACTTGGCCTAACTTTTCAGGGCCCTGGGGGTGGTCCCCTATCGCCAATGATCATCGCCGCTAGCACCGACTAGCTCAGGTACCCTGGTCTTCAGCCTCATGGCTTCTCGCTTGTCTCTCTGTAGCGATTAGACTCACCGATGTCGTTAGTGTGGGCATGTGTGGGCGTGCGGCTTTTGTTGTCTTTTTTGGCTTTTTTTTTTTTGTTTTTGCGCCTACTAGGTACTCTTCGCTTGCGAGATGGCGGGAACGGGATGCAGGGGCTCTCCAAGGATGGCTCCCAAAACTTCCCTTTATATGACTCCTTGGACGAGTGTTCACGAGTCTCGGATTGTCTCTCTTCTTCAGAGTTCAAGATCTTCAAGACACAAGCCCTAAACGGTGTTGGGCAGTGCAGACAGATCATCCTTTCCTTCTTCTTCACCCCTTTGATCTAGATTCGTCTTGATCTCTTATAGCCACACATCATGGCACCGCCTCAAGCTGAAGATCCCAGGCCCACACTCGTGGCTGGTAACAGCTATCTCACAGATCCCTTCCAAGATCCTTCTTCGGACAGTGCATCATCCCAAGGGCCTTCAAGGAGACCTTCTAGTGTAAGTGCAATAACGACAACAACTACCAATTCTGGTGTTTGACAGATGTTGATGACTGACCTCCTTTAAGGAAAATCCTCCCTCGCCAACTGTTCCAGCACCGCCAGTTGTTGCAGCACCGCCTGCGGTTCCTGCCCCTGTGGTTCCTGCTTCCGCTCGTGCTCCTGCGGTCCCTGTTGCCCCTCCTCCCCCCCAGATACAACTACCTGTCGATGATATTGTAAGGGAACACCCCACGTCGTGCTTTGGTCCCACAGAGTGTACAGCAGCTAACCTTGAGTAAACAGACTCCTGCCCCTGCTGCTCCTCCAGCAGGAGAGGTTCCTCAACAAGAGTTTGATGAGAAGACTGGTGGTGTATTGAACCCTGCTGGCGATGTCGAGCAGGGCCGGGCTGCCGCTGCCCCTGCCGGCGCCGATCCGGAAAAGTCCGGCTCGCCGCCCCGCAAGAGCAGAAATCCCTTCAAGCGTGGCTACTGGGCCTTCCGGAACACCTATTGCCCCAAGGAGGAGCCGGGCCTCGTTTTCCCCACCGGCCCCGATGACGAGGAGAAGCTCCGCTACGTGCACACCAACCGTATTCCGCTCTACGTCTTCGGCATCATCTCCTTCCTGACCCTCTCGGCGGGTATGTGGCTCTTTGCTGTTTGCAGTCCCATCTTTGCCTGGTACGGAGTCTTTGTCGGCTTCCTCAACATCTACCTCATCATATCCTACCTTGTTGGCGTCGTCGGTCGCGACTGGGACTATGATGGCCACAAGAAGATTGTGGAAGAGTTCCCCATCAACGAGGAAACGGCTCCCACTGTCGATGTCTACCTCCCCTGCTGCTCCGAGCCTCTCGAGATTTTGGAAAACACCTACAAGCACGTCATCAAGCTCGACTGGCCCGCCGCCAAGCTCAAGGTCTATGTCCTTGACGACAGCGCCTCGGACGCGGTTCGCACGCTCGCCGAATCCTACGGTTTCAACTACATTGTTCGCGATGACCGTCCCCGCCTTCGTAAGGCCGGTAACCTCCGCTGGGCTTTCGCCCGCACCCAGGGTGACTTCTTTGCCATCTTTGACGCTGATTTCTGCCCCCGTCCGGATTTCCTCAGGGAGTTGGTGGTGGAGCACATGGCCGATGACAAGACCGCCATCATTCAGAGCCCGCAGTACTTCCGAGTTACAGATGACCAGACTTGGGTCGAGCAGGGCGCTGGAGCTACCCAGGAACTTTTCTATCGTGTCGTGCAGGTCAACAGAAACAGGTGGGGTGCCTCCATTTGCGTCGGCAGTAATGCCGTGTACAGGCGCGCTGCTCTCGAAGAGGTGGGCGGTACTGCTGAGATTGGTTTCTCTGAGGATGTGCATACTGGGTGAGTTTCTTTCTTTTTTTTCCTTGTTCTGCGCAAAAGGATTGGGCTAGGTCTCGAGTGAGACAGTGGACAGTGGGACATGCACTTCGTATTCCGTATACGGTGCGGCGGGTGTGTGTGTCTGTGTGTGTCACCAACCCTCGAGTCTCTCAAACCCTTCTCCCGCGCCTTACCCCTGCATGGAAAATTGTGTTGCTAACCACCAGTCAATTAAATAGATTTGGCGCTGTCGATCGCGGCTGGAAGGTCAAGTACGTCCCGCTCTGCTTGGCTACCGGTATCTGCCCCAACACTCCTCGGTCTTTCTTCTCGCAGCAGATGCGCTGGGCTCGCGGTTCCACCACTCTCTTGACCACCAAGCATTTCTGGACATCCAACCTCAACTTTATGCAAAAGTTGTGCTATCTCTGTGGTACGTACCAACCTATTCCCTGGTCTCCCACCCCTCATCCACAGTCTGCTAACTCTTGAAACAGGTCTCCTCTACTACTCAGCCGTCTCCCTCGGCATCTTCATCTCCCCTATCCCCGGCACCCTCCTCCTCGCCTTCCGCCCCATCTACTTCAAGTACTACAACCTCGCCTTCGCCATCCCCTCCATCGTCTACGGCGCTGTTCTGTTCCGGTTCTGGGCCAAGGCCAAGTACGGCTTCAACGTGCAGCACATTATGGTGGTGCAGTCGTACGCGTACCTGACGGCCATCAAGGACCGCCTGTTTGGCATTGAGCTGCTCTGGGCCGCGTCGGGCGACAAGAAGGCGCACAAGAGCAACAAGTACCGCAACATGCGCGTGCTGTGCACGCTGTGGACCATTCTCAATGTCGGCGGCATGATCACCGCCGTGGTGTACCGCGTTGGATTCCATGGGATGGAGTGGTATAACACGCTGCCGCTGATTATCCTGTCGGCGTATAATTTGTACATCAGCCATTACTTTATCTTTGCTTCGTGGAAGTGGTAATCTTCTGGGAAGCGGGATAGAAATGGTAGATGGTGGAATAGGGATGAGTTTGTTCACTTCTTTTTGAGGGCCGGACCTTTGGGGTCTCATCGAAAGGCTCACTCAATTTGGGAATTACTTTTTATTTTATTTTTGGGACTGGATGTCAGTGGCATCTAGATCGGTTTTATTTTGGATACAGGGTCACAGGGTGTCACCGGGTCATGACGGAAAGACAGACATGGGGACATTGGGAGGGGGGATACGATGGATTGTACGGAAACGAATTTTGATGGATGGAATGTCTGAATTGGATCTGGATCCCAAAATCACATGAACTTGACATGCATGAAGGACGAGACGAGATTATCGATACCTCTACCTACCTACCTACACTATACATAAGACTTAATGAACGCATCTTTTTTCCTACCTACCTCTTGTTCTTGCCATAATATGATAAAAGGGAGTGAGATGGATGAGGACATGAACGAAGATTTAACAAGATCACCTCAACCAATACCAATCCAAACTTTTGTTACCTACCTAGAAATCTTGTCTCCTTCTCCTTTATGTTGATCTCATGTGTTCTCATTCTCACTTCTTTCTTCCTTTCTCTCTTTTTTTTTTTTTTTTTTTTTTTTTTTTTTTTTTTTTACATCATGGATTTTAATACAGTGAGAGCACTTTCTGTGTAGAGATACCTACCTACCTACCCACCAGGCCAATGTCCATGCCCATGCCCAGGTCCAGACCCAAAGCTGAGGTGGTAAGGCTTGAGCTAGGTACCTACTGAAGGAGCATGCTGATCTTCACTTCACTAAAAAAGACTGGCTGGTAGTTAGAACTTAGCTGTACCTAGGTAAGGAAATAGGAGGAAATTAGGTAGGTAGGTAGGTAATCCACAAGTATGTAGGTACACAGTGCTTTTCCCAGTAACTATGGTTCTCAAGCTACTTGGACTTGTACAGGGGCATGTTGCATGTGGATAGAGGTAGGTAGGTAGGTAGGTAGGGTAGGTACAAGTGACATGTTACCTCTACTTAGTTAAACTGGTATAGAGGAGACATAGGTAGGTACCTACCTAGTGTGGGTTGATCTTCATAATGTTGTATGTATGAGATTACACCTAGAGGTATTTACGAGGTAGGTAGGTAGGTGTACTGTATAGAGTGAAGTAGGTAGAGTGAAGCTTTCCATGGTGAGGTACCTACCTAGGTGGTTAGAGTCTGAGCTGAGTGGCTGAGTGATGAGATGCCTACCTACCCCTTACCCTGCCCTACCCCTACCGGTCTGCCCCCTGACACTGGACAGGATAGATACGAGATGTTGTTCAGAACAATAGCACTAGAGGTACTAACGATACATTCTAGCCAGATCAAATACAATCAATAGTCGATTGTGAGTTGTTGGATGTTTCACTTGTGAGCAAACGCCTTTCTACAATAGGCCTCGGTTCCAATTGCAAAATGAGATGAACCAGGACGAGGTCTATCCCATGACGAACGTGGCTGAAGCCACTTCTCCATTTAAGCCACCGTATTTCATCCCCCTTTTCCCACGCATAATATAATTTTTTACTTTTTGTTCGGTGCCCGTTATTACGATCCTCAAATGGTTTGTGCTGAGGGATCAAAATGCATGTGAAATTCAACTTCTTCCTCTTATCGTCGGAGAATCCCGCTTGAATTCCATGTTATCAAACTCATCACAACAACAAACCAATCGGAATGTGGTCGACGTTTGTGGCTTGCTGAGGCTGGACTGGACTGGGTTGGGTTGGGCTACGCTGGCGGTGAGATCTTGCTCGTGCGGTGAACTAAATACCTCTACTTAGGTACCCAAGCGAGCCAAGCTGGGCTGAGGGCATAGCTGAAAGAAATTAGCTCGAGAGTGAGTGAGTGAGATAAGATACCGATGCTCGATTGTGATTGCACGATTAGTAAGGGAATGCGGTTGGGATGTGATTTGTCAATTGATTGACATTTTACGTTTTATATGAGGATCATCTCATTGAGTCGAGTATTTGACGCCGACAAAGGTGAAGATCGAGATTCCAGGTATCTAGTAGTCCTCTCTTGGCATTTACTGCAAGCGATTCCTTTATCATCGCCGACTGCCTGCTGTATAGGTAGGTAAGCAGTTCTCGGTGCAGCGATTCTACGATTCTCTATCTTCCCCTATCTTCACTGTTGAAATTGAGCTGTTCAGTCGGAAATCGCAATCATACTCAGAAAGACAGTGCCAAGCCGGAACCTTTTATGTTATTTCATCATGGCCTTCCATGCCCGCTCTCACAGCTCGCAATCATTGCGTACATTGGCCTCCTTTCCCCCATCAACTTTCTCCGCCTCGGCGCGGTTGTGTTTGACGGGAAGAGCTAATTGTGCTTCCAGGCAGAATGTAACGATCCCTCGACGAGTATTTTACCATGCCTACCTATCCGTCTCCTGTTGTGTTCTCTGTCTACACCCACTGTTGCTCCCGTCCGGACACAAGGCCTGTCGGTCGTATTAAGGGGCATCACGATGTTTACATCCATGGTCGATGTTGTGTGTCGACGTTGTGGTTTGCAATATTTTGTGTCGTGTACAGGCTCCAGTATGCCTGGCATATCAGTGGAAGCGTCAATGTCTCCAATCCAGGCAGGCAAGGTTCACACTCTAGACTTTGTGCGAGGACAAGTCGGGTTCAACGACGTTGAGACAGGAAGGGGGTTGAATGGATTCATGGAGGGGCGGGATGCATATTAAGGTTCTGACTCAGAATTTCGTTGGCTAAGCTAGGAGTGTCGAGGGGGTCCAAAGAGACATGAAATGGGATCATTGATCAAGTTAGTTGAACGTCCGGTCGCACGAGACTTCCTTTCTTGGTCGGTCGTGGACATGTGGGAACGGGGATGGAGAGAAGAATTGTTAACCCGAGACATGGAAGAGACAAGTCCATCCCCTCTTCCATCTCTCTTCCCTTTCCCGACTTCTACGCCACGCTGCCACCATTGCAACGCAATGCCAGCCACCATCAGTACCGGTGCCGAAGGCGACAGCAATCGACGATGTCTTGCATTTGCGCCTTCCGAGAACGACAAATGACACCCTTCTAGAAGAAACGATATCCCGACGGAAAGACGCAATTACCAGACGATAACGGCGCGCCCGCCAAGCTTCAATTCGCCCCGGTACTTGATACGGGATGAACCCGAGCGGTTACACACTTTGTGCGCAGCTAGCCTGGAGTGCCTCCTAGGCAAATTGCCCTAGGCAGATTACAGGATGTAGCAAAGATGCAGCATCCCGAGCGCATCACGGGCAGGAAGAAAAGGGAAGGGTTTGTTGACGGCGAGATTTTTTCCCTTCCTTGCGACTTTGTGAGACATGAGTGCCACGAGGTTGTGGCTGCCTGGGCTGCGACAGGGAGGCGTTTTTGAGGGGACGTAGCAGCATAAGGCGAATTGATCGTCAAATTGGAGATGCGCGACAGCAACACAGGGGTAGGGTCGGAACGGCAGTGTAAAACATCTGCTGTGTCACCGGAACACGGACCCATTGAATCTGCGGAAAATCTGGCGGCATGACTGGCTGGTATGTCCATCACGACATGAACCCAATCTGGATTTGCAAGGAGGGGAAGGGTTTCACGGAGCGATGTTGTGGAATCTGGACTCGTATACCAGGTAGGCATCTTGGCGGGCTTTCTCGTGCGAGCACTATCAATGAATTCTCCGCGTGTTTGTGCATTGCATCGCCACCGTGAGGGAGGATGTTGCTGTCGCGGTTGCGCATCCTGTGAGGGTCTTGGGGTCATCCATGCTGTAGGCGGCAGGTTTGATGAAGGAAACTGCCCGTAGATGCACGTGTCGTATATTGCCAGTCCGTTCCAAACGCGGCCGGTATCTGATGGCCAAGATGGTCAAATATCCAATTTCTTCTTATATTCGTTGCGTTCTCGCCAAGACCCCCTTCATTCTGCCGACCCTCAAACAATCCGTTCCGGGACCCGTTCCAAGGGCGTAACCACCGGGCTATCGGCATACGGGCTGATAGCACCATCCGCAACCGCAGCGGGCGACGCGACCGGGCTTTCGACATCCAATATGCTCATTGCATCCATCCGGTCCTCCATCTTTTTCCTCCAGGGGCGATAGATGATGACCGACGCCAGACCGACAACGACAAACAAGCCGCAGATGCATCCGCCAATAACGTCGTAGTGATCGCCTATCGCTTCAACCCCGTCCCAGAAACGACCTGTCGGCTCGGCCACGTTGTAGGCAAGCGACAGGATCTGGATGACGCCGATGAAGGCCGACACAACGACCGTGATGCCGGTAAGCACAATCGAGTAGTACAGGATGGCCACCACGTCTCTCGAGAAGGCCTTGGACGTGTACAGGGCCATCATCAGGGCGCCGTCAGTCGTGTCGAGCATACACATGCCGGCTGTCGTAGCATCTCGTTAGCAATCATCTTGTCTCTCACACTCTCTCCAACTTTCAAAGTGGAAACTCACCAGTAAACAAAATCGGAAAAATCAGAATCAACCAGATACTCGTCCCCTGCACCGCCTGTATGCTCGCAATCCCCAACAGCGCCACCTCCGAACTCGTATCGAACCCCAGCCCAAACAGTACACCCAGCGGGTACATCTTCCACGGCCGATCCACAATGGCAAACACCCTCCTAAACACCCTCGCCAGAAACCCGGCCCCTTCCAGCTGCAAGTTATTCATGGCCTCCTGCTCCTCCTCGGCTCGCAAATCCTCTCCTTCCTCCACCCTCCTTCTGCGCTCCCTCTGCTCCTTCAACACCACCCGCAACCGCTTCACCAGCTTATACAACACCCACCCGTTCCCCACTCCCAAGATAATCAAAAAGGCCGCGCTCACAGACGTGCCAATGATGCCGCCCACCCGCTGAAACCCATCAAACCTGTCCCTTAGCGCTCCGCTTGTCGCAGCTACCACGATGCAAGTGATGATGACAATGGTGCTGTGACCCAAGCTGAAGAAGGTGCCGACGGCTACGGGTCGCTGGCCGGAAGCAATCAGGCGGCGCGTCATCAGGTCGATGGCGCTGATGTGGTCGGCGTCGAGGGCGTGGCGGAGGCCGAGCGTGTAGGACAGCACGGCGGGCGAGATCATTTTGGGGAAGTAGTGCAGGGTGATGCCGACGCCGGCCCAGACGAGGCAGTTGATGAGGATGAGGAGGGTGATGAGGTGGAGGGCGGGGCGGGGGATGTAGGAGAGGGGTGGTGGGAGCCGGAGGTGGGGGAGTTTGAGGCGGGCCATCTTGGGAAAACCTTGAGGGCGGCGGCGGTGGTGGTGAGTGAGCTCGGACTGGAGGTGAGGCTGATGGTGAAGTGAAGTCGGGTGTCGTAGCCGTGATATATGTATGTCTCGTCGTCGTATACGCTGTTCGCCGGTCGCCGGGGATTGAAGATGGGTGATTCTTCAATTACGTAAAAGGTCTACCTCTTGAGGAATCGGGGTGGGAAACTTCTGCTGCGAAGAAAAGAAGAAAGGGAAACCTGGAGAAGAGGAAGAATATTTTTCAGTCTCCCCTCCGCCTTCCCTCCTCTTTTCTCATCGACAATCTCGCCGAATTGAGGCGCTCTTTCTTCCCGTAGATCGGAGTGTTCGATGCTACATATTTGCTTGGAAGTCCCCACGATCCAAGTCTTGGAAGATGCAAAAAAGTCCAATTACCCCTCCATTGCGATAAGCATGATAGGTAACAAAGGTATTGTTGAAATGCTTATCTTATCTTGTTACATCAAAAATTAGTAACGCCGTGTGGGGGAAGAAACCCGGTGTGGGGTCCAGTCCGAGTCCGGCGCGCTCCGGACCCGCTGTGCTCAGGAACGGTGGGTACCTCGGGCAATTCCCTTCCCGATGGCGGGGCTTTCCTTCCCGCTGTGGGGGCACCGGGACTTTAAAGCTTAATGTGTTATATAAGTGTTAGTGCACCCACTAAAGAACGCCGCCACAATAGCGAGGTACGTCGATACCTCTACGACCTAAGCCAGCATCACCAAGGAAATGGAGGGAAGTATTGCCACCAAAATACCAAATGACAAGCCCACGACCGATATTTGAAATCGCATCAAAATATTCTCCAATCCTCAAAGAAGACCAACAATCCAAACCAGGAATCACCCCAAAACCCCCCAAACAACCACCCCCCAAACCCCCATCCCCACCACCCTCTTCAACGACATCTTCCCCATTCCCCCCAATCCCGGGGCCGCACCCCCCTCCTTAACCTGCCAAACCGTAATATACGCCCCCGTCACGTTTCCCTTATTCCTAACACACTGCCCCATCGCATCCGCAGCCACCGCGCCATCCCTCCTTTTTCCATTCGTCCCATCTTTATTCCTTTCAAAGAGGAACTCATCGGGGATGAAACACCACAAGGCGCATCCGCCCGGGTCAGCTATATGCACCTCGTTGTCGGGCTTAAGGTTACAGCAGGCCGTCATGCCGGCTAGCGACTCGGGCCAGTTGGGGATAGCCCAGACGGAGCGGGATTGCGGGAGGCCTGGGATTTGGGAGAGGTCGGGCATGGATTCGTGGTTGCATGTTGTGGTGGTGGTTGGTGTGGAAGCGGTGGTGGAGGAGGAGGAGGAAGAGGCGGCGGCGGCTCGGGCCGCTATGGCTATGGCTTGGTTTAGGGCTGGGGTGGGTGGTGACATTTTTGCTGCGGCCCGAGGTGTAGTGCTGTGGGTTCTTGTATGTGTCTTGTGTTGTTGACTCGACTTGAACAATACCGCCGTTGGACTTGGAGATAGGTCGGATGAACCAAGTTAGCTGGTTTTGGCTGTCAGTTTGGCCTTGCAAGGTAGGAAGGTGCCTCTGGGTGGCCAAGTTATCGTTTGCTTTGGTTCCTAAACGAGGAGGGTCTTGGTCTTGCCACGAAAACGGATGGGTAAGTAGTTCGCAAAGTAGCCAACTTACAAAAGCTAGAAGAACTTGGGCAAGAAGTTGGTATGACCCGACTAGGTATATAACTCATACCACGCCGAGATACGCTATACTCAGTCGGTATGAAGAAGGCGGAGTGACATGCCCAAACAACACCAAACATCGAATAGGAACGCGACCAACGAACCCCAAGTTAATCACTCCACATCCGTGCCTCAAACGAGCACAATCCTTTCGTCGTTTCGGACTCTGTTAGTAGGTGAAGCATGGGTAATTGTGGATCAGTTAACGGTCACGAGCCCCCCTTTCCCCATGTCGAGTGGACGAGACCGTTGCTCGGCTGTTACCAAAAGCAACGTTCCATGGTGCGAGTGCAGTGCTGCTGGCAAAAGCGCCCCAATCACTATCGGCCTTCCGTTTCTGGGGCGACCCGACGGCTTGGGACTTAGCACTTTTAGGCATCATCTTTGTTGATCCCTTTTTTTCAAGGGCGACAGAAGCTCATCCTCCGCGTCCTCGCTCCTCTCACAAGAAAAACTGAAGCGGCCCGAGAACTAGAGACCATCTGTTAAATCATCTATGTCTCACTTTCACGATGAGGAAAAATGAGATCTTAAAGGCAGAGTGAAAATGAGCAAGGGCACCCGACTCCTAGAGATGAAGTCACAAGAGGACGCATTCTACCTCAAGACGAGCCAAAGGTGCTCGAGTTCATATCTGTGTTGTTCCATGCTGTAGCCTATCTGTGTTGAACTACGAAAACATGTCTGTTCCAGCTTCGATGCCTTATACCTGCTAAGAAAGCTTTGCTACTCGATTACTCACGAGATTCTTCCAGAATTGGCACAAACCCGAAACCTTTATATTCCCTCCACCCCTGCAACAGGCCAAACTGCCTCCGTAAATTCTTTACAAAGTGAACTATGCACCTTGCGTAAATGAACCACTGAGACCGTCAGCTGTATCCTCAACCCACAATGGACCCGTGTGTCAGATCTGCCTCGATGCATCTTGTTGGCCTCTACCTCGCTGTCCTCCAACCGCTGTTGTCAATGTGGTTAAGGTCAAGGGCATCATGCCTTCCTTCCAAGTCCGAGCCGTCTTCCTCTCCCTGACGGGATCTTCCCACATGCCTAGGTAGACTCATGCAACGGAAGTGGATGGCTAGACCCTTCTAATCGGCTTCGGGCAGGGATCACCCTCGTGGACAACATAGAACCGTTCCTGTAGTGATACCTAGTCAATAATTTGTTTCTTCGTTTCAGAGGAAGGAAGGCAGAATCCTTACAAGATCTACCCCGTGCATCTTTTTGAACCGACAATCATCTTTATACCGGCAATCCTTCCCCCAGGCACAGTGATGACCGGCAAGGCAATAATCCTCTCTGCAATCACTTCCGTTCTTGCAAACCACACTTCTTGCTTTGTACCAGAGATACTTTTTCGCCTCCTTACTCAGCGGTTCGCCATGGGTATAATCGCAAGGACCGTGATTGTTCTCAGCCAAGTGCTTGCATCGATTGATCAGATGGTAGCCATTACAAAAGTTGGCGCGGTTCTTCCTGGTTCTCTCTTCAATCTCTTCGCGTACTTTGGTGTCGGGTGCTCTACACAAGGGATAATCGACACGCTGCTCGGCTTTGTTGAGGAAGAAGTACATCTTCTCATACTTGGGGGGTTGTGGGTTGCGGCATTTGCCCATCAACACGTCGTTGCTGTTGGCCAGGCGACCGACTTTGATATAGCCCACAGGTTGGGTGCCTGCAGCCTTGGCATAGCTCAGGACTGGTTGTCTGTCCTTGTCTTCTGGCGCTTGGTTGTCCTCACTCTGAGAGTCGCCTGAATTGGATGCTGCAAAACTGAAAGCGGCAGCTTGAGGCGGGCTGGGCCTCTTCGTGAGAGCGGCTGATGAAGGACCGCCATTGAACTGAACGGCTGATGGGTAAGCGACACAAGTTGACAAAGGGCTAGGAAATGGCTCGATGCTGCCGAAGGCGGTGATGGTGCTGCGGCTCTGTTGGCTGCGCTTCCTAAGGCAGAGAGGCTCGGAGCGAAAAATGTCTGGAAATTGTTGAAAGTTAAAATGTTGCTTCAGTTTTGCAATACCGTTTGCGGCGGGGGTCGTCTCCACGAGGGTGATTTTGTCAGTTGCCCATCTGCTGTACTCCTCAAGAGACGTGGCATAGCCATTGTCATGACATCCAGCCAGCATCACGCGCTTGCAATCCTTCAGGTTCACCATGAGTTCAAAGTGCTTTGTGGCCTTGAGATCTGCCTTTTCCTTTCCGTGGCCGACATCGATAAACTCAAAGAAGGGCTGAGCTTGGCAAAACCCGCGACCAAACTTTGTGAGCTTATCGTCCTCATGTATGATACCGGACTCCATCAAGGCTCTGGTGAGACCTTCCACGTTCAGGTATATCTTGACCACGATGAATTTGATATGATCTTCCATATTGGCCGATTCCAGGAATGTCTTGAGCGCTGAATGAAGCTTATGGGCAGCCTCGCGGCCACCCTCCTCGCCTTCGATTATGTACTCGTCATGGAACAACGCTCCGTCGCCATCAATGATTAGGCAAGCAAATGCGTTGGGGGACTGGGATGTGCAGCTTATGTCAGCTTACGGACATTGTACATGGAAAGGAAAGAGCATACGTCATTCAGAGCCCGGTTCTTTGCTTCCAGGCAGCGGATCTTGTTTTCGAGATGCTCAGTCTTTTTTTCATACTCTTGGAGCTTGGTCCACATTTCCGTGTAGTGCTTGTCATACTCTCTGAGTTTGTCATTTTTGTCGCGGTAAACATCCATCAAGAGGTTCAGGCCCTTGTTCATGTCGGTGTGCATAGAGTTATAGGTGTCGAGAGTAGCCAGAAAGTCCCTTGACATGTCCACGTCGCTCGCACCGTTCGCTAAGCTGGCTAGCTGGCCGTCACTGGCATGTCCATTGTGTAAGAGATGGTTTAGATAGCCATGAAGGATGTGCCCGTTCGAGGGAGGATGGTCTTGGTGGTCGTAGCTGGCGTGCCCGTTTGCAGAAGAGTGGTCTTTATGGCCATGACCGACACGTCCATTCAAGAAGCGAGGGTCTCGATGGTCGTGACTGTCATGCCCACTTTTGGGGAGATCGTGACTGGTCGCAGTCATCGGGTCGTTTCCAAGGGCGCTGAAGGAGGGCGAGGATGTAATGCTGATGGTATGCTGATATTTTGTTGGTGATACTGCGCTGTCGTAATGGGCGTCAAGAGATGGAGGAATTTGATCGCTTGCACTTGACAGATGTGCGAGTTAGTTGTTTGTGCTGATGTTGTGGAGACAAGAGACATCAGCCAGAAAGGGAGAGAACGGAGCAAGACTAGAGAATCCAAGCTAAGAGCGAACGCGGGTTAGTGGATCAAGCGAGTGCCAAGCAGTCGAAAAAAGTGAATGGGTGAAAGAAAGGGAAGAGCAAAGGTTGAGATGAGTGGTCCAGTCATGTTAAAGGAAGAAAGAAGTGATGACACCCCCAGCCGCGGTCCAGGTTGTGTCCCGTGGCAGGCACCTCTCGCAGTCTTGATGCCACCTTTCCACCTTCTTCTCCACAAGATGAGTGACAGGTAGAGGAGTAAGCGAGGCAGGAGCGAAGCACAAGGTACCTGTAGGTAGACAAAACCTGCTGATGCTGCTGCGGCCTGGACCAAGCGCCATTCCACTCGCCTTGCTGCAGGGGCATGTCTGTTTGGCAGGTACTTATTGATGGTACAGTGTCTGGAAATTCCCGACAGACAAAGAACCCGGCCATTTGGCAAGTTACGGTTCCATGGAGGAGACGGATGTCAACGGCATAATGATCCCAAGCCGGGATTTTCCAAGCCCTCATTTTCATCCAGTTGCTCCCGTAACGATCGGCCACTTTATAATGGTGTACAGACTTTACTGTAGCATGAATAGTACCCATCGCTTCTGTTCGGTTCTATCTCTACAGTGTGCATACAGTTGACATCTGCCAGTGTTACCGCTCCAATCCCGACATGTTCCGCGCTCAATGACCAAGGGGAAGATTTGAACAAGAATCCGAGGCGCTTAAGAATTGAAAGGGGACGTGCGTGCTGTTGCGAAGACTGCAGATCCTGTTTTCTCTCTTGGTGTCTCTCTCGTATCCTGTTATGCGAGTCATCTTGCCCTCATCTCCTCTAGCCGAGGAACGTCAACAACAAACAACCGGATCCATCCATCTAGTCAGCTACTCAGCATTCCCAGAACAATGAACAATCTCTTGTTTCATACTTTACCTCTACTGGCCCCATGCACGGGAAACCATGTCGACCATCACATAGAATGCAACCTGTAACAATACTCTGTTTGGGTATGGCTAGCCAAGTCGGGAGACGGGAGGACCTGTATATACCCACTCTATGATCGCCAAATTCTGCTGTTCAGACCAACAATGAGAATCCAGATATTAATTCGCATCATACTATAAAGATGCTGAGAATGGCATCGAGTCAGTCGCTGTGACGGGCACATCCTTGTCTGGTGTGTATGCCGATATGGACTTCACGGCGGGCAGGACGTGTGCTGCATATGTTAGCACTAGTTGTTGAGGCTTTTGTCAGCAGCGGATGAGAAATAGGAAATCCAACATGGACCACAACAGTGGCACATATCGCGGGGAGACGGAATGAGCCAAGGATTAAACACCAGTGAGCAAGTTTCAATACCGCAGAACTCGACATACATACAGATGACTTCAAGCGGTCAGAGCTGAAATGAGCACTGTGCCTGCCTGCCTCCATCAGAGTTCCTTCTCTGATTCCCATCGTGATGAAACAAAAGATGCGGGGAGTCCCCTCGGACTTTGTCACAAATTCGACCCCGACTGTTCAGTTACCTGGCAAGTCCGCATCTGGCACTTGGCAGTCGCAACCGACATTCTCAAGTTTTCTATATGTAAGCCAGACCCCGGGGCATTCTTTCTCTATTTTCATTCCCTTCTCAACCTTCCCATCCGTCCAATCTTGCTTGATTTTGACACTGCATCGCCACCAAGAAAGACCAACATGCGAACCGTTACTCTCTCTCTTCTCGCCGCCCTCGCTGCCTTCACCGACCTCGGCCACGCAGCATGTCCCGTCGGCGGCGACACCTCTATCCTTGCCAACACCGGCACTCCCATAGGCACAACCAAGGTTCTCGATGACACTGGCAGTAAGCCCCGTCGTCACTCCTTCTTGCCCTCCTGTTGAAACATACCGCTAACCACCCCCTTTTCCTCTCCAGTAACACTTTACATCACAGGCCCACCCCTCCACTTCCCCGCCAACGTCCACCCAGACACCGCAATCATCTATCTCTCTGACATATTTGGCCTCGACTCCCCTGCAAACCTTCTCCTCGCCGACTCCTTTGCCCGCGCAGGCTACCTCACCGTTGTACCCGATCTCTTCTCTGGCTCCCCCGCCCCCAGCGATTTGAACACGCCCGGCTTCAACCTCACTGAATTCCTCTCTGAACACTCACCGAGCGCCACGGACCCCATCATCGCTTCTACCATCTCCTTCCTCCGCTCCTCCTTGGGCGTCACTCGCATCGGAGCAGCGGGCTACTGTTTCGGGGGCCGCTCTGCCTTCCGCTTCCTCGATGACACCCTTTCTCCCGAAGAAAGGGTAGATGTGGCGTTCGTTGCCATCCCGAGTCTGCTAGAGGATGATGAGGTATTGGAGATCGATGGGCCAGTGAGCGTGGCGTTTGCAGACAATGATGCGCTAGTGAGTGCGGATAGAAGGGCGGAGATCGAGGCGCTGTTGCTGGAGACTGAGCAGGAGTACATGGTTAGTCTGTACTCGGGTACTGTTCATGGATTTGCGAGTAGTGCGGATGTGAGTGATAGGGAACTGAGGTTTGCGAAGGAGAGTGCGTTTCTGCAGGCTATTAGATGGTTTGAGGAGTTCCTTGGAAGGGGCTTCAGCGGGTGCTGGTGAGGTGGACTGAGGTGTCCGAATTTTGGATACAAAGGAAGTGGGCGGATGTTGTTGGTGTTGGCGTTGGTGTTGGCGTTGGGACAGGATGTTGGCGTTGGGACAGGATGTTGGCGCTGAGGCGAGTGTTGGTGATGGGTGACAGACGCCAGCTGGACGGCGCTTCGACAACAATGAGATACGCCGATACTTTCTTCACGATCACCATTCCATTGCGCTTGAACATAGCAACTGGTACACTTTGAGTGTTGGTCGACCTTTTTGTGTAAAGCCACCTGAGAACGAGGTCACGGGTCGACAGCCGCGCGCGATCTCTATATGAGTTCCCTTGACAGTATATCCGGCACGTACCAAAATGATGATCAGACAACAAGCGGGTTGGCGACTGAGGTCTTTGATTCAAAGTGCTTAATGATAAGTGAGGGTCGGTACAAAAGTTTATAAGCAGCATCTTTCCTCAAGAACGTGGGCAATTATATGATCTCATGCCTCAACAGGGAGCACTTAGAAGCAGGCCTTCACCGATCATTCTCCAGTCGATTACAACATCGCGTTTGAACACATTTAAGTCTTCTTATCCAGTACGCTCATCAACGAACACCATGCCGAAATCACACGTATCCCAAGCCAAAGATGTATCCTCGTCTCGGGAATCGGAGCCGCCAAATCGTCCTCATAAGCTCTTTCCTCTGATTGGGCTACGCAATTTACCTCTATACAGCTACTTCTTAGACATAGAGGGCAAAGAGAAAGACCTCTACGAAGAAGTGCCAAAGGCACTCCGAAAGGGACGCGATTATGAAGAATGGGCATGGTGGCCATACCTAATATTTCCGATTCCCGAGGAGTCGTACCCGCCCGACGAATCAGATCCGTTTGAGAAGGGTGAATTTATCAGTCGCAAATATTCTCTTCACATCATAACGATTCTACAAAATAAAATGTGGGGGACAAGGTTGGGATACGCTGTGAAGCTGCTCGACAAGTTAGACGGTGGCGACATTAGGAAGATCATCGAGGGAACTCCTGGGAATGGGAGGGAGTTTCAAAAGAGAAGAATGGTTCACTTTTGCAGGTTTTTGCTCTCTTACAACTACGTCTTGGCGATACCCGATTATGAGGACAACCGTGAGGCGAGAGAGATTTGTCTTCGGCTGTTGACCAGATTATGGTTGGATGACCGTGCATTGGTTGAAAGGCTCAAGAGCGAAGAATGGGGCGACGAGAAGCCAGTCGATTTCGAGGAAAAGCAAGTATGGCTGTCGAAGGGTACACAGGGGGGCCCAAGTTTTTTCAGCCAAGGCATGAAACTTGCAGCCGACGGAAAACCCCTAGATTCCCCAGTCGGCGTTGTCACCTCAATGGCTAGTCTAAGGGAAAGGACGAAAGATAAAGGAACTCTCGTCCAAATCCCGCTAGACGGGGACATGGAGGCGAGGGGTCACGACAACGCTGCGGGAACATCCTATCAGCCCCCCAGACTTAAGATCCGTCGAGGACACTAAAATCCGCCAGAGACGTGTCGAGTTCCTCCGCGTCGACAAGAAGGGAGTCTGCCCAAGCTTCTGATGACTACGATAATGGTTATTCCAAATACTCTACGTCTCCGAGCATGACCGGGGAAATTCTTCTCGACAAAACTACGTACACCCTACATCCACGAGAGGATACTGAGGCGAGCCAAGTTCCTCTAGGCCCAGGAGAGCATAGCCAGGCTCAGGCTCAGAGGGTCAGGTACTTCTCAGGCATATGCGTAGAGTGGTGGACGAGTACAGGCACGTTCATGGTCTTCCGAAGGGCAAATATTACAGATCTGAGCATCCCAGACAGGTGGAAATTAGGATATAGTCTTGAAAGGGCACCCCAACAAGGAAATATGTCAGCTTGGCTCGTGTAGGGGTCGTCGTGGGGAAGGGAAACGGGATGGGATGGGACCGGATAGAATGTTTTTGCTACTTTGGAGCACACTTATCAAGTGAAGGGAAGTTTTGTTGAGAGGAATGTGTTGAAGTTACCTAGTCTGTCGTTACAGAAGCTGTCGTCAATCTCCAATCTAGGTAGTTTAGTCGTTAACTCGGAAGTCTTTGAATTTCTATGAGTTTTTTCCACCATGCCCTTGGTCATGATATTTCTTCAAATTACCGTCTTTCGTGATCAAAGACGAGACCCTCCTACCATAATGATGACCGGGAAGGTAAGAACTAAGGTATCTTGCGCTGACATACCCTCACCCTCTTACCTTGATACCTCTACGTACTGTTCCTCACACCCTCAACCTCCTTGCACTACACTCACCGTCAACTCCCTTCACCTCCATACTCTTACCATTACTCACCGCGTTTACCCTATCTCCTTTCACTTACTCTCAACCTCAACCTCAACCTCAACCACAGTCACAATCTCACCCTCAACCGTAACCTCCTTTCACTCACTGACTCCAACCCTCACCCTCACCCTCTCATACTCTTGTTCTCATACTTTTATTCTTACCAATCGCCTCGACAGCCTCCCGTCCTCTCACACCCTCTTACACCCCGCCCTCTCACCACCGCATTTGGTACCTCGACCTCGTACCTCGTACCTAGTACCTCGTACCTAGTACCTCGACCTCACAGACCTCACCCTCCCACCTCTCATCTGCCTCGGCCCCCTCCCCCCACCACAATGCTTCTCCCCATGGAGGTAAAGCCAGACCAAACATAAGATTACTAGCGCCACTGTTCCCAAGACACTTTCCACTACTGCTGATGGGTCGTAGCGATGCTCCCTTTCTCCATCTGGAGAGGGACCAGTTACGGTGCCGTTGTTGGTGTTGGTACTGTTCCTATTACTGAGTGTCGAACTACGTGTCAGACTCGGTATCAGAATCGGTGTCAAACTCGGTGTCAGACTTCGTGTCAGACTCGGGAACATAGAGGTGGTCGCTGAGAGCTGTAAAAGCTGTGACTGCGAGACCTGCGAGACCTGCGATGCCGTGTAAGGGACCACGGTTGTGTTAGTAATCGTCCCGTTCGTGATTTCTGCATGAGGAATGGTGGGGATGGCGATGACGGAGACACTGCTTGTAGAGGAGAGGGCTAGCAGCAGGAGTGCTAGGACTTCCATGGTTGTGGTCATGGTGATGATGATGCGGGGGGTTGAATGGTGAAAAGGCATCAACGTTGCGGAAGGCGCGAACGCAATTGATGAATTGAAGTGACAATGTGAAACGATACCAGCTTCTGCTGTAATGAGTCCGGTCGATGTTATGTCACGGTATCTTCGTAGTGGTGGACAAATATCCGCAAATGTTGTTACGAGTCCATTCCCGTGATGATGAATAATCGTGTCTTCTAGAAGGGATTCGAGCCCTTTTATGTGTCATCGAAGTAATGGTTATGAGAAGAAATACAATCCCATTCTTCCATCGTCAAGCATTTATCGTGCAATCAAGATGTCCTAACAGTGCCGTTGTTCAGTGTGGAACAGACGCCTCGCTTCAGATGAAGAACAAAGAACAAAGCGCTCTAGTTGCTCACAAGTCTGACTGAATAAATGATGAACAAATTCGGGGCGCAGATGAGGGAAGGACAGAACCGAGTGACACGACCCACCCACTCTAAGCCACCCGGGACTCGGGACACGGGAAACGCCTTCCGGTCTTCCGTCTTTGTTCTTCCGTTGCGGGATCAAGCTCATACAAGTATTTCTTGAATGGGCATTGTGGAGATCTCAAGGTCTTTGTAAATGCTGGAATTCGACACATCATCGAGTGTCTGAGGATTGTGTGTGAGGTACGTACCTGAATCAATATAGTTGTCTGTGAACATTGAGCTGTCTGTAGAACAGTGGACGAAATAGCTTTGTTTACTTACCCCTGAGCGTAGTGGGACTTACTTGATGGAGCAAGCTAAATGCAGGGGGGTTGCTTGAAAGGAAAACTTCGAATGACAGCTCAGAGTGGCTGACACTTGAAGATTTCATTGGCGAAAACTAAACACATGGCCCCGCAACCAAAAATCGGCCCTGGCTTTCCAATTTCCACCACGACACCTGTTGTCTCCAAATATCGGAGATCAATGAAAGGCGGAAACAGCTCGATACCGACCTGGCTGCTGTAGCCAGAGACTTCCTACGGTCATCACGAGACTACCTATATTGAAGCCGCGCTCCAATTAGAGATACTCATCATCATTAGTCTACCAGTCGACTATGTCATTACCCAAATAGCTCAAGAGCTCCAGACCCCCGTGCATCATTGTACACAACTTCCCATCTACACCTCCTCACCAGCAACGCTCTCATACCCCCCACCTCTCCTCCTCCCTCCGCCACCAGATGTCATGACCCCCGGACTCTCATACATATCCGTATAGTTCACCGGTACACCGCCCAACACCGCCGCGCCATTCTCATGCTTGCCAAACATGGGGCTCGGATCACACCAAAAGTCCTTACAATTCGTGACGCACCCTCTGCTATAGGGGTTGCCGCGCTTGTTTCTCTTGGATCCCTTGCCCGTAGTCGCACCCCGACCTGCCGCAGTTTCAATAAAGGCGTCGACGCCGAGAAGCCGGGACCATTGCTTGATGAAGCCTTGCTTGTGGTTGTGTCCGTGTGCGTGGCGGCCACCGTGACGAGCGCCGCCTGCAGCAGGGGATGGACCGGGGGCGGGGAGAGAGGGTGGGTTGAGGGGGGCGCCGGTGGAGGTGAAGGCGCTGTTGAGGGAGGTGGCCGAGTAATTGTCGATGCCGTGCATGTTTTCGTACGTGGTCATCGCGCTAGAGACTTGGACGAACTGGACAAAGAGGAGCATGGAGACCCAGGTGAGTTGAAGCGAGGCCCAGATGGCAGTTAGGAGGCTGTAGGTATCGGCGTTGACGATGCGGCAGAGCGAGGGGGCCAGGATGTTGCACTCGTCGGAGGCGGTCTCGGAGAGGGTGGAAAGGTCTGCTTGCGTTAGCAATCGGTCTGTAGGAACTTGATGGGATAGACTCACATCTGTAGGTCAACCAGTCATAGGTGACAACACTCAGAGTAAGGTTGATGAGGTAAAGAAAGAAATGACGGTGGTTGTTGACGCCGATGCAGTTGTACACCCAAGGGCAGTGACTATTCCCCGTTAGCTTTCCCATTCTGACCCAGTTTTGACTCGGTATACTCACTGATCATGCTTCGCCACGCAGCGTTGACACCTACGGCAATGCTTGCTCCTCAAAGGCGTGCGGATCATGCAGGTAACGCAAAAGTTGGACTCGTCAAACTTCCACAGGCTGATAAGCTCATCGATGACGGCCTTTTGCTCAGCGACACCTCCCATCTTGGGCACGAACCCAGGATCATCAACCATACACCGGATGTAGAACCAGATAGTCATGGAGATGAAGATGGCAAACAGCAAGTTGGGGATGACTGCCGAATCCTGTCCAAACATTGTGGTGCCAAAGATGTGTAGCAGCCAGTTCATGATGCACAAGAATAGCGACCCAGCAAAGATGCCAGCCATCCAAGGCGTCTTCTGCAGTTGCCTCATGTCTGGCGGGGCATAAGCGATGACCTGCTGTGCCACCCACTGAACGGCATAGCCCGCCAAGACGCCCAACGGGATTCCAACGAACACGGGCATGCCAGCCATGACAACCATGGTCGCCCACACCATAACAAACGGCCACAGAAACGTAAACTTGGTCATGAAGGATCTCCTATCCTGAAGGAGATACGACGCGCCAGGCCAGCTGGGGACAATGGCGTTGCCATGCTCGTCGTAACCGCACTCGTCAAGCGCCTTTTGCCACGCGGCAACCGTGTTGAGCTCCTGAGCCGTGATCGCGGGGGTCTTGCCGTTGGCTGTCTTTGCGAACCGGTCGGCGCCGTACTCAATCAGCTTCTGGATGCACCCCGGGCTTCCTTTGACCAAGGCCCAGTGTAGTGCCGTGAACCCCTGCTCGTCCTTGGCGTGGACACTCGCTCCCCAGCGGAGAAAGACATCGACGCAGGCGGGGAAGCCCTTGTATGCGGACCACATGAGAGCGGTATGGCCGTAGGCATCTTCGACGTCAACGGGGATGCCTTGGTGGAGGAGGAGGACGATCAGCAGGACGTTGCCGTTGAAGGTGCTGATGTGTAGTGTGTTGTACCCCTGAGAATCGGTGATCAAGGGATCGGCGCCGTGTTGGAGCAGCAGGTGGACAGTGTAGTAGTGGCATCGTTGGGCGGCCCATTGTAGAGGCGTTGCGACGCTCTCTCCTCCCTTCTTGTTGATCTCGGCGCCCTTGTCGATGAGGAACTTGCACATGGCGTACTGGTTGTTGATGGCGGCCCACTGCGAGAAGGAGAGCGGGGTCAGCTGGGTGTCGGAGTAGGAGTGTAGGAGAGGATTGGACCTACATGTAGAGGCGTGATGCCCTCGTCATCCGAGTAGGTGGCATCGTATTCGCCGGCCGCAAAGAGCTTCTCCATGCCGGCAATGTCGCCTACCCTTGCCATTTGCATGATATCGTTATGTGCTTCGCTGGGGAGGCTACCGAGCTCGACCTCGCTGTTCAGCTTGGGAGTTGCTGTGTCGGATTTCATGGGCGGTTGAGCGGGGGCGGCATGGCCGGCATGGGCGTCGGCCCCGTCGTGGTGCGCCATTGTGGGATCGCGGTGGTGGAATACAATCGTTCGATCGGTCGGTGAAAAAGGTTTACGGTACTCGGAGGTCGAGGACTAGGATCGTGGTGGTAGTGGTCAGAGTGTGTCGAGTTGTCGTGTCTATCATTTGAAGGCACAGATGGCGACGGTACGAGTCGGCGTGGAGGGGGAGACCACCACCGGGGCGCAGCAACTGGAGACGAGGAGCAACGAGTCGCGACAAGGAAAAAAGACGGAAATAGAATATTTTGAAGCTCGCAGTAAGTCTAGGGACAAGGCCGCAAGTCGAAATACACATTAACAAAGATCAACAAGAAAGAGACCGTCGGCGATGGATGGGAATGGCTGATGATTCCGCCGTGTCCGAGTCGCCAACTTGGAAAGTGAATCGAAGACGGGAACTTTGTTTGGTTGGGGGGCTTCCATGGAGTTTGAACTGATGTTGGACTGTCGTCAATACCCGTTGCCTGTTAGTGTCAACATCCGGTATCGCCGTGTCTGTGGTGGCTGGTTGATGTCTCCGCTAACATGCAGCTTCGGTTGTGTGCTGCAAGGGTCTTCCTCCGGGGGATTGAACTGCCCGAGGTGCCGCGGCGGAGAGACAACAGTTCAGGGTCCAGGGACGTCTCGGGTTTAAAAGCCCTTGGCTGTCTGTCTCACACTGCCACGAACCAGAGATGTCGATAAAGACATTGACACATGCGATAGACTGGTAGAAAGATTGCATCCCCTCGTCTTTCCAATGTTCTCCGAGTTTCCTCTTCGGCGGGCGGGCGTTGCGTCCATGTTCGGTGACAGCTGTGCCCTGTGGTCGGGGTGCACGGACACTGCCACGCCCACTGTGCTGATTCGTCTCCAGCCAACCTTCGCTCTTGGGTGGAGCACTAGGACAGGACCCCAATCTTCTGTGGAGAACTTGTCTGCCGGGAACTTGGTCGTTTATCTCGAATGACGATGGTGTCATTTTCGGCCCCAAAACACCCCGAGTCGAGACCCCTTGGCCCCCCTGCAACGCGCATCTCAACAACCGACGACGCGTCTCAACAAACCAGAGAAAAAAGGGGCATGTCACTATAACATCTACGAATCTCCTCGTTACATTCCAACCAAAGATAAACAGACAAGAAGCGAGTGATCGATCGAACCCCCGCGCAACGTGTCCGAAGTAGCGCAAGCTCTACCGCAACCATGGACACAACAATAGAAACCATAACCGCAACCGTCGCGGCAGCATCCAGCACGCCCTCCGCCTCTGCGCCCATCAAAGAGCTCATCAAAGACTTGCTCATCGCCTCCCTCCAACCCAACAAGACCGTCATCATCACCGGTCTCCTCATCGTCTTGCTCTTCCCCATCTTCCTCCACCAAGTCCTCCACGGCAACGAGTCGGGTTCTTCCTCCAAGACCTCCTCCCTCCCCTCAATCCTACTCGCTGGTCCTTCCGGCGCCGGCAAGACCGCCCTCCTGACCTTATTCGAGAAGCGCGCCGGCCGCTCCATCTCTACCTCAACGAACGAAAAGACCGAGCCCGCGAAGACACACACCTCCCAAACCCCCGTCTCCATCAAACTCAACGCCGCCGCCTCCCCCTCCTCCACCTCCGACGATCAACCTACAAAGAAAAAACCCTTCCTCCTAATCGACACCCCCGGCCACCCCAAGCTCCGCTCCACCGCGCTCTCCCACCTCCTCCCTCTGGACCCCAAAACCGGCCGTCCCTTGCCCCCCTCCAAATCCCAACCCATCAAAGGCGTCATCTTCCTCCTCGACGCATCCACCCTCTCCCCTTCCTCCCCGGACAGCTCCCTGTCTCAAGCAGCCACCTACCTGTACGACCTCCTGCTGGCCCTCCAACACCGCTACAGCCGCTACACCAAGGGAAGCAAGCACCCGCCTTCGATTCCGGTGCTCATCGCTGCGAATAAGTTGGACCTGTTCACGGCGTTGCCTGCGACTTTGGTGAAAAAGGAGTTGGAAGCGGAGCTGGGGCGGATTAGAGTCAGTAGGAGTAAGGGATTGTTGGATTCGGGAGTCAAGGAGGAGGATGATTTGATGGGAAACAGCAAAGAGGAAGGGGATGATTGGTTGGGGGAGTATGGGAGTGAGAGGTTTGAGTTTCGGCAGATGGTGGAGTTTGATATTGAGGTGGAGGTGATGGGGGGGAGTGTGCTGGGGGGAGAAGAGGACGGGCCGGGGTGTGAGGGGTGGTGGAGGTGGGTTGTTGAGAGGGTCTAAGTTAATGATCCATGTGATGGATAGGTAGCTAGCTATGGTGAGGATGGACGGAGAAAAGGGTATATGTGGATGGGTAATGGATGGGTAGTTAGTAGGGTGGTGTATGATAGGATATGGTACCTACGGTGGGACGGAAAGGGGTCATGAATTATGCATACGAAGATATGTAGAAAACCAACTAATCGATATCACTTGACTTGAAGCCGTCATTGAGCGCTGCTAATCACGACAGCAAGTTGAAAAGGATAAGAGATTTGCAGCAGAAAGCCCCCGGTGGACGAACAAGTGCGAGGGATCGTAAAGGTCTGTGAAGAAGAAATATGTGGATATAGACATGGTAGGTACAGTAAACGCGAAAAAGATATTACAGTACTTTAGGAATTAGGATACGAAAAAATGATCAGCCACCTCATGTACGTCGGGTTCGTAGGCCTAGTCTACGATAACGCACTACACCGCCGCTAAAAGGCTCAACTCAGGAAGACCATCGCAAGCAGAGACATGAAGCACCAGGTCGAAAATTAGGGATACGGTACAGATGAACAGTAAAAATAAATCGTCCCATTCGCACGGGTTGAACCCTTTTCTACGCCGGACCAAATGCTACCCAGAAAGATCTACGCGAAAGCAAATGTATGTACTAGTACGCCCAAGGCTCCCAGAGTAAGTCCCCCATTACTATTAGCAAACGACGAAAAAAAAAAAAGAAAAGCAAAAAAAAAAAAAGAAAGAGCTGCCCATAGATGGTGAGTCTAGGTATCATATCCCGTCAAAGAAAAAGATCCCCGTTTAATCCATCCCACGCTCACGGAGGCAGGTTTAGGTGTTGTCGTTGGTATGGATATCCTCCACTCTATACCCCCAGTCATCCATCAAACGCATTTGAAAAATGGTTTTTACAGCGACTGCTGATGAAGCATGTAGGTCAACAGGTCGACCTTGGTGACCACAGCCACAGGCTTGGACCCATTGTCCGTCTTCTCCGTGACAATCGCAGCAGAGTTCCACTCAAGGAACTTGCTGAGAGCAGCGAGAGGAGTGTCCATGGTGATATCCACAAACTTGCGCTGCTTGTCCTTGAGGTCGTTGTCGAACTTGCGGGGATCCGTGACAACCTCATCGAGGCGGCTGAAGTCGAACATGACCTTCGCAACGGGGGTGGCGGGGGTGGCGCGGCCGCGCTGGATGAAGCTGAGAATGTTTCCGAGGGTGACGAGACCGACCAGCTTGCCGCCAGTGGGGGCGAGGACGGGGAGCTGATCGAAGCCCTTGTCGCGCATCGTCTCGATGGCCTCGGAGCAGGGCGAGTCGGCGAGGACCGAGGTGACGGGCTTGAGGCGGAGGGCGCGAACCGTGGCGCCGGCATAGCCATCATCGGTCTTCTTCTGCTCTGTCTCTTGCTGCTTCTTGACAGTCGCGGTACCCTTGGCATCGTTGGCCGTCTTGATTTCGTCGTCGGTGACGAGGAGGCCGTTGGCGGCGAGCCAGTCGTCATCGGCGAACTTGGAGAGGTAGGAGCGAATGCTGTCGGGGAGAACAACGACAACGACGTCGTCCTTGCCGAGGTTGTAGTCCTTGACGGCCCGGATCATGGCGGCCATGGCGCTGCCGGAAGAACCACCAACCAGGAGACCCTCCTCGGCGATAAGGCGGCGAGCGAGGTGGAAGGATTCGCGGTCCTCGGTCTTGTACCATTTGTCGACAAACTCGCGGTCGAGGACGTCAGGGATGAAATCGTAACCGATACCCTCAACCTTGTAGGGAGCGGTGGCGTTGGGGTCGTTCAGGCTCTCGGGTTGAGCGAGGATGGAGCCGACAGGATCGGCAGCAATGACCTTGATGTCCTTGTTGTGCTTGCGGAGGCCGCGAGCGATACCAGTGATGGTACCGCCAGTGCCGGCACCAGCAACAACGGCCGTGACCTTGCCGTTAGTCTGCTTCCAGATCTCCTCGGCGGTACCGAACTCGTGGGCGAGCGGGTTGTTGGGGTTGGTGTACTGGTCGAGAATGTGCGAGTTGGGGATCTCCTTGAGGAGACGGCGGGCGACACCGATGTGGGATTCGGGACTATCCCAAGCGGCCTGCGTAGGAGTACGGATGATGGTGGCACCGAGGGCGCGGAGGACGGAAACCTTCTCGGCCGACATCTTCTCGGGGAGGGTAATGATGGTTTTGTAGCCCTTGATGGCGCCAACAAGAGCAAGACCAATACCACTGTTGGAAGCTTGTTAGCTCGAGTCGCAAACGAACAAAAAAGACACAAAAACGTACGTGTTACCACTGGTGGGCTCGATGAGAGTGTCGCCAGGCTTGATACGGCCTTCCTTCTCGGCCTCCTCGATCATGCGAAGGGCGATTCTGTCCTTGACACTGCCGCCGGCGTTGAAGAGCTCGACCTTGCCGTAGACCTGGCACTCGATACCGAGTGACTGAGGGATCCTGTTGAGGCGGACGAGGGGGGTGTTGCCGATCAACTCGGTGGCCGACATGGTAAGGCCGGGGTTGCGTTCAACGGCGCCGTTGGTAGTCTCGCCGGACATGTTGACGATTGATTTTGATTATTCGACTGACGAACGGTCGGGGATGAGGGTAAAAGGAAGTCGGGAAGGTTCGTTGTCGAGGGAGAGCAGGGAAATTTCTGTCTTTTTATCGTACGAGGATTATTGTGGGGGCTTTGTCCTCGTTTGGTTGTAGGCTTCAGTTGGATGGACACCCACTCGCTCGACCAGGACAACGACGAGAAACGCGCGGGGGCGGGGTTGGTTTGGACAGGGAGGATCAGGAAAGGATTTCACGAAATGGAGGAGTTGGCGGTCGACAGGAAAATGGTGATACAATCTAGGTCTACATATTTATCTTGCTCTCTATTGCGATCAACAGCGACCTGTTGGTAGCAGGTATATCGACTGGGCAGAAACCGCGATCACGGGGAGGCGATAATGCAGGGAGGGGTTGTGTCCTAAGAAATCAGGAACAGCATGTGTAAGAAAGCGGTCCAGTTCTCGGGTGACGGCGTGACGGAATTGGTGAATCAACTTTCGCCATCTCACCGTTGTGTCACTTAGTTATGTGTCCCCCTCCCAAACTCCCACCGCTTGGCTCACCTGGCCCATGATGGGATGCTCCAAAACCGATGATATGCGCCCACCTTCCCTTTCCCTCGGGCTTCGAGTGGTCCCTTCTCGGCTTCCAAAGATCCACAGAAAGTTTCTAACGCCAAGCGCTAATTGCTGGCGGGGATTGAAAAGCACGGGCCAGTTGTGCTCTTTTGCTTGCACGTGCTTGGACACGTCGTTTGAACGGACCGAACGGTTCGGTGATGTTTTGACAAAGACAGGGATGGGCAGTCCGCTAACGGCCCTCGTGATGGAGACATGACATTAGCTCAACAGTGGAATCCGGGGCAAAGTTGAACATCAAGTTGTCTTGTTTGAGTTGGTTTGTTGTCTTCGCTGAGTAAGTATCAGTTGCTGTGCTTTTCAGGAAGGAAGATGGTATCCATGATCTTTTCTAATAGTAGCGGCCAAGGCCCGTTGACATCTAGGGGAAAGCAATGATGATTGTCCATCTTAGGAGACCTTCGCAATGAGGTGCTTTGCATTCAGGAGAAAGATCAATTAATAAAGTCGGTGCAAAGCAAACTGCAAAAGCAAATTTAAAATCAGATCAACACCGACTGCCAAAATGTCCAACGGCACGGACGGCAGGCGTCATGAAGCAGTAGCCAGACACAGAGACACTCAGACCACACGGACAGACCGTCAGCCGTCAGCAGCTGCACAAAATTTCCCGGAATTTGCACTCGTGCACAGACCATCCCAACCCTCTATTTAACAGCAGCTCCCCTCCCCCAATTCTTCCTCCTCTTCTTTTCTCTTTTTTTTTCTTCATACTTACCTTGACTGACTACGCGGAGATCAAGAAAACCGCGTAGTACGGTGGTGAGCCTGCATTGCACATCGTGGTGCTCGCCGCCGTGAATTGCCCTTCGGGGCCGTTCTGGTCGTAATTTTTGATGTCAAGCCAATTATGCAAATCATTGCAAACCAATTTTCTTTTTCAATGTGTGCTCGGCCTGCTTGGTCGTGCCATAGGGAAGAAGATGATGGTGATCCTTTTATGATGCTGAGTGCGTGCGACCGGCGCTTATGATGCACCGTGCCCTTGTTGTCCCGTGCATTTGTCAAAGCTGCCGATACTGGCGATGGAATCAATTCACTTGAATCTGCCCGCTAACGAATAGGCTTTTGTTAGCTGGGCCTTGGGCATGTCAGCCGAGCGCTTTGTTGTGTTTGAGTTGCAGTGGTTCGTTGGTTCTTAGGCTGGCTGGGCGCCAAATCGGACAGGTTCTAGCGCTTGCTTAGCGGTCTTGGTGGTGGTTTGTTAGCGAATCGCGGGGGGAAAGAAGACGGTAAGTGCATCTTTGAAGGTGTTGTTTGTGCAAATGCATCCTGGTTCTGGCCAAGTTGACCGGCGACGCGATGTGAAAAGGGTGTCTCGCCTGTTTGGCGCTGAGTGTTGCGAACTTGCGAGACGAGGGTGTGCCTGGCTGGGGGTGATGTCATGCTTCCCGCTCTAGAGTTTTTCAGTGTTTGGAATGGCTCGCCGGTCTGAAGATACGCTAATGGAAGAGAAGAAAATTGCCGCTGGTGTTTAGTAAGGTATCTACTGGAGATGGAGGGTGTTGCACATGAAATCAAGTAAAAGTAGCGCATTTGTAAGGAAGAAGGGCTTGGGAAAGATTATCGTAGATACATACAGCAAGGATCAGATAGAAAAGATGCTTGGAGCTATACTCGGGAGCCATTCTGACTATCTGATGACAATATCGACACTCATATTGTCCATCTCGTTCCCTGTGTAACCTCTTTGGGTTGTTGTGCTTTTCCAACTTCGTCCACGATAGAGTACCCCTGTCCGTCATTATCATGGCATTCCGAAGGGAGAGAACTCATCATTATTATAAGACACAAAACCTGTGCTTCGGTCTGCGACATACAGTTACAGAGCGCAATATCTACTTTAGGTTCTCCGTTGATTGGTGTTCCGGACACACCCAGCCCAGAAAGAACCTAGAGGAACTCGGGTACCTGCGAGACGAGTTGCTAATGTGTTGTGTTCCGCAACCCTTGCTACCTTATTGAGCTAGAATACCTGAAGAATAACCGCGGTGTCGTTGGACGACTCGGGCAGTTTAGGTGAGCAGGAAGCCTTGACAAAGAAGTCTTGTTTGTAGATGTCCTACGTCGAGCCATCAACTAGCGCATAAGCTCGAGGTGCGCATGTCATCGTGTCACGCAGCTCAAGTACACCATCGTGAGGACCTCGCTCGGACGTGGTGTCAAGAGATGGGGACATAGGTATGCTACCTAAAAATGGCTATCCAATCTCATCCCAACAGGGCGTTATTCGCTTTGCTCATCGGCGGTCGATGCGACTACGTCCCGAAAGCGAGAATGACACAAAATGCAAAGTGGAAACCTCCTTCCAGGTGGGATCGCTGCTGGGTGGCGGCAAGCTTTCAGGTACTAGTACACAGTAGTTGGGACAATTGCCCGCTGAGCAACGGTAGAGGTTCTGTGTTGTGAGCTGCATGAGTGCATGTCGGGAAGGGACGATGGGCCCCTCGCAGTCTTATCCACAGGACGGCAGCCCGGGTCAATCCCATTGTCGGGCGCAACTACCTTGTGGTCGCCCGAAAACGATTGAAACTGCTCGCGCCTGCTTTGCTTCCCGTACAATAACGAGAGCGTGTCGGCGACGACGACGACGACGACCATAGAGTACGAACCCCGGTTGAGGGTTTGGGAGAATGACGCGGGCAAACCATCCAGAGCCCGACAGCAGATGTTCTTGGTCGGATCGTGTGGATTCCCACGGCCTCGAACTAAGCAGCGAACAGCGGGATGGAGAGCGGTCGAGTGAGCCACAACAACCTTTACCAAGAGTAATTTGTCAATTCGCTTGTTGGTCATGGCTATGGAAGAACAGAAAGGGGACAGACGGTGAGTGCTAAGGCCAAGGGGTCATCAAATTCAACCACAGACACGATTCGCAATCGATTATGGAAGTATAACTAGTCGGGTGTTGAGGAATTGAAAGCGACATCTCAACTGTCTCACTCATCCCTCGGTCGTCTCTCTGTCAGTCTCGCTCCAAACCGGTACAAAATCGACCACCAATATTGCAACGCAGCCCCGAATCAAACATCACGGACTATGCCAGATCCACGCCGTCCAGATCGTACCGATAATGCCCGAGTCTTCACGGCAGCCGACCTTTTCCAACAGATCGCTCGGTCGGAGGCTCAGAGACGCCAGGCAGACAGCAATCAAGAAGTGGCGCCACCCTACACCTTTCGCCCTACTGCTGGAGAAGCTACGATTGGCTTTAACTGCGATACCTTGGCGGAACCCCCCAGTTACTCGCATTGCATGTCAGCAAGCCGTACCCATACTGACCAGGAACTGAGGAGTGAAGAGGCAGTAGGTAATTACCGCGCTCGATCTAACGAGCTTGCAGCTCCAGCAGCGCGTTCGGTCCCTACTGAAAGTGCCAGTGCCACGACAGAGGCAAAAGGACAAGCTCGCTCATCCGGCATACCTCCCCCTCCATACGCGGCCCCGGCCACAGATTCTCGGGCTAGTAGGACGGCCACCTAAGCTGGAGAAACGAGTAGAAGTGCTTATCCGCGAGGGGGGGGGCCAAACAGGTGGTACATGGGTAGACATTGAAGTCGTGTTGGTCAAGAGAAGATTGACGTGGAGGGGACTTGGAATTAGGAGCTTTAGAACGTGGCACAAATGGCAAGGATCGTTGTTGGTCTATACGTTTCCCTCCACCAATTCTGTCATTCTGTCAAATTACTTCTCACTGCAGTTGCTGAACGCATGCCCATCCACTCATTCAGCCACTGGATCGTGAAGAGCCCCCCATCACCAACACTCAGAAACTCATCGAAACGAACTGTCGAAACATCACACGGTCCTTGACCTCATACCTAACTCTCCGTTGACATCCTCAGGAGGCAGATTGACGACCATGGAACTTGCTGGGGACGCTACGCTTGGATGGTTGCCGGGAGAAAAATCGCTATGTTTGAAAGCTCTGGTTCGCACACTGGTACAAAAGTAGCTCGGCGCTTTCTTCGGCCAGAACGAGCTACCAAGACCGGCACAGTCATTACAAGAGTAAGAACCTACCTATTGATTCAGGCAGTTGGGGAGACGTAGCTAAAATGTTTATCACTACTCTTTGTGATTCCTTCATCACGTCTTGGGTTTTTTATATTCGTCTATCGAGTCTATCACGGGGAGTACACAACACAAACTACCTACTCGACTCATGCTACGCAGGGTTAAACTCCCCGTCAACAATTCCTTATGTAGAGCACCTCAAAGTTCAAGCCCTATCCCCTTCCATCTCGGCCACTGAGAGCTAGGAAGTGAAGCGCATCATTATCGAGGATGCAAGTGTCCCCCGCGCCCGCCATCACATGGATTGTTCGGTAGCGGGTGCACCGTTCGCGTTTGGAGGGCGGGAATGCGCGCCAGCTACCGCGTAGAGGTACTTGTAAAGCTTCTCAAATCGGGGGTTGATCCATCTGCCCCTCGTCTCGGTGTTGATAAGCGCTCAAAGCTGAGTGCTCAATTTGTCGACAAGTGCATCGGCAGTCCCGGTCGTCGTGTTGTCCGTTGTGTCGGTCATGGTGCTTTCGTTCGTCGTCTTTCTTTGTCGTAGTCGCGATGGTGACTGGAGAGTGGAGAAGGAAACGACGACTTCACCAGGACATGATACTTGCCTGGGGAAGGAATGGAAGGCACAGTAGAGGGGTACTACCCAAGCCAGTCTGTGGAGATACGATCGCGTCCCAGAAAGAAAGGACTCAGCTTCGTCCCATCAGCTGTCGTCCACCCGGTCCCCAAGTTTTCTCAGCATCCAAGTCAAGCCAGTACAAACGGAAATACCATCCAACTAGCTTTCTGTGTTGACAGCGTGCCATACGTTTGCCATACCCAGAGCACAGGCATGCCACGGTATCTTATTAGGCTGGCTGGTTTGAAGCCAGTCACGTCTGCGTCTGCCGGTTGGAATACTAACTCGAATGGAGCTGTATTTCTTTCATCCAGAATCCCTCCCTCTGAGTACTTTGGGAAACGCCAGTCTTGCTCAGGGGGAGAGCGTTTGCTATTATTGAGTGAACTGTTTGCGGCAACGATGACTGTAACAGACTCAGAGCCGCAATGGCGACATGGAGAGACATGGAGGGGCTGGACGTCATGGAAGGTGAAGGGGCCAAAGATGAGATGGAGGCAACCACTTCTGACTGCAGTAAGAAAACAATAGCAGACCAAACTGCTGTGAATCACACAATGTTGTTTGCGTTCTGCTTCACTGGGAGCTTGACGGCTTGAGGAGAATTATGACCTGTCCACACTGTTGCGTGACTTCAGACGAGAAGATTTCGTTGATATGGCTGCAGCTGGCAGTCTTTCATCTGTTCCACTCCTTCTGTTCATACCGTCTGAATAAGATATTAGTGAAGTCCAAAACCCATTCACCTGAGAGTGGGATCTCGTCGCGGTGGGTCACCCTTGGTGTATTTATACCCCTCCTCCTTGATCAAAATCCTTCTCTTTCTCCTTCCACCTCTCAACTCAGGAAGATCAACAAAAAGCAAATTTCAAATTCTCCAACAAGATCTTCACACACGCTTCACCCCACTTCTATATACCTGCAACAACGAAAGCCACCATGGGACTGCCTCTCTACCGTTCCCCCTCAAGCGAGGCCCTTCGCCGCCAGGCCGCAAATAACGCGGCAAGTCAACAACAGCAACCTGACCCGCGCCGCGCAAGGTCCGGCGCCCCTCCCCCTCCTCTCCGTCGCGAAGATGCCCAGCGGCTCTTCTCCCAGACCCCATCCGAGGCTGCAACTGGTACACAAGAGCGGCCTATCGACCTAACTCGCCGCTCCCTCGAAGTCGAGGCCCCACGTCGCCCTGCTCCCCCTTCCCGCTCTGAAGCCCCTCTTCCTTCAACCGAGGACGAGGAGAGTGACACGATGGCAAGTGCCGTTTTGTCCAGGTACAGCCGGACGAGCTTCAACTCAAGCGAGTTGGCGACCCCCGCCGAAGAGGAAGAACTTCGTCTCCCGGACTACGGCACCCCGGAACTCGACTGGTCAACTCCCGAGATCGAGGCGGCTAGCACCCCTCCCCGCCCTGAAGCCCAAGCCTCCGCACCTGCCGCTCCCCAGCAGCCGCAGCAGCGCCAGCAACAACAAGAGGCAGGTCCGGCCCAAGCCGCCTCAAGACAGGAACAGCAACGACAGGCAAGCGGCAGCGGTCGTGGCGGCTTTGTCCAGGTCGTCGTGAGCCAGGACTCAGGCCTGGCGCAAGTCCAAGTTCAGGGTAGCGGAGAAGGTCAAACCATCCCTCCTTCCCTCCGTCTTCCTCCCCTTCCTCGACCGTCGGACGCGACCATTCGACGTGCTCGTCGGCAGAGGATGGGGCAGTCGGGTACGGCGACCCAAAATACAAGCAGCACAGCCAGTCAACGCAGCAGAAGCGGTGGAAGCAGTGGAAGCCGCTCGGCTGCTCAGTCGTCCCGGGTGCGTAACGGAAGGTCGGAATATTAGCTGGTCGTGGATGAGGGCTCAGATCAAAGGAGATTATCCAGGGGTGGTGGGAAGAAAAGGGTCTGCTCTTGATGGGACTCCGGTTTGTGGTCGGCACTTTTTCTTTTGGTGTCATCTTCGAACAAGTCTTCGGTATCGAGGTCGCAGGCATTCAGACCAGCAAGTGGTGGACGAATGGATGCGGTGGCACATTTGATGGAGAAACATGGTTCGGTAGCAGGCAAGGGTCATAGAAACAATTCTGACTTTCCGATCGGCTGGTTTGGGAAGTTCAGGGAAGTCAGGCGTTGATAATTCGTCATGGAAGAGGACAGATATTCCCAGGGACATATCAACACCAGTTTTTCCAATGCAAAGAACGAAGAGCGCTTGTTGAAAATGAGTGACGCATGTGATGCCGCTATTCGTCGCCAACCTCAATGCAAATGTTTGCACCACCACGTTTGACATGTGTCACTTCCAGGCCGTGGACAATTCTCCCTCTTCGCATCAATCACATCAACCTGATTTTCTACTCACCATTTTGCATACTCGCATTTGCCTTGATGAATTTGAACTTGTCGAAACACCATGCAATGATCCTTCTTGATTCTAAAATTCTCATGTGGACTCCTTGCCATGGGGCATGAAGTGCTGAACTGCACCCAGATCAGGTACAGGCATGCACAAATGATGTGACCCTAGAACCGACATAATCGCCGTCGGAGGAAAGGCTACCATCTTTCACAGGAGATGTATTTATACCGGCCCTGGGCCCAGGAACTCCTTTTCTTCTTTGCTCTCTTCTTCCCTTCAACCAGCGCGCCAATCAAGCACTTCTCCCCCACCAATGCTCTCCTTTATCTCCTTCAGTCGGAGGACTTCCGATCTCCGATCCTTCCACTCAACCACAACTCTTGTTTTAGCTGTGCTAGAGCTGCTACCAGTTATACTTCCCGGCCTTGCCCGAATCCCTCCCTGTCCATACAGCTGCTTCTCATCCACAACTGATATGGGCCTTCCGTTTTACCGAAGCCTGTCTCAACGCCAGCAAAAGTTGAACCACATGCCACTCGATCCCAAAATGATGACAGAAACGACAACTATCCGGATTATTACCCCGGATGAGTTGACGTCCATTCCACTTGATGTCCGAGCCTCGCTTAGCTCATGGAATACCTCCCCCGAACCAGAACCTACCAGCCCGCGGCAGACTTCACCCCACATAGCCCGGCACCGAAGTGGCACCGGATCTCAAGCTCCATCTCCTCCAGATTTCGCTCGCCGTCTTTCCAACTTGAATCAAAGCATCAACGCTCTGCAGCGGGAACTTAGACGAGGAGGAAGGCCACGGCGGGCGGCACTTAGAGGCCCTGTTTTCTCCGAGCGTACTCCTGCTGTCGATATTCAAGGAAGGGAAACCCAGCTGCCAGATCCAATTCTGCTTACACCGACTACGCTAGGCGTCTCCGGTGATGAGGATTGCACTACCAGAATAGGGGTACCTGCACCCACAGTGGAAGAGACCTGGATGTACAGACTCCATGATCGGCCGGGGTTTTGCGACTGTCCTGGATGCCGGCATGTATGGGGTAATGAGGACGGGGTTGACCGCTGGCTCAGGTAATAGTGGTATTGAGGTGCGCATGGGGAAGGACACGCAGTGAGTGCCTCTGGTGTCGTACCTACAAGTACATGTAAGTGGGCCCTGTGCATGGAACAGAACAAAGAGATCATAATTTTCGTGGACAGCTGACTACCTCTATACACGTCTTGCAGTTCAGCAAGCAACATGTATTTGAACTTATTTTAATGCTTTGGAGGAAGAAGAGGATACCTAGTCATAGACTAGAGGAACATGTTAGGACCAGCAAAACGGTCAACTGCTCCGCGAGGCCAAGCTTGGCAACCCGATATATGGCAGGTCTGGAAGAGGTGATATATTTGTAAGTTACTTCCATTGGAGTCTCATCGTACCCTCCCAACGAATACAATGCTCTAACTGCTTATTTCTCGTTACAACCATCCACGAGGGATTCCCTCTCCTGCCTTCCTTTATCGTTCGAGCCTCATCGCCAGTGATACGCCGGTACTACCCTAATACCTCACCACTACAGCCACCATGCTCAGTCCCCTGCCCTCATATTGCTGAACAGTGAACAGCAAGATATAACTCGTTATTCCTGAAGCTGACATACAGTGCACGAACATTGTGGTCATTCAACCTGGACCTTGGGTGAAAGCCCGTGCTGTTCGCTGTTCAAGTGTTCACTGTTCAGGGACAGATCTAGCGACCGTGAAAAACTGGAAGCGAATGTCGAAATATTTTGACAGATTTAAAGTCGTCGACAACATGGAAGTCGTCCCAATCTCTTCCTTGCTACTGTCTTGCACAAGCAACGCGCATTCTTGCACCAACACCTAGGCCTATCTACCACACAACATCACATCATCACAGCACCTCAACTCAACAGCAAAATGCCTTCCGAAGGACGCAGCAATACCAGGCTTCCGCAGTCCAACGCCGTCTACTATCCAATCTTTGAAAGCGTAATTCCACTAGGTGTTCACATGGCGATACGAACCCAGTGGTATCGCCAAATGGCTCGCCGTATTCGAGCCCGTCGAGTCCTCGGCATCAATCCACGTACCGACTTCCTGACTGTCGAAGAGGAAACAGTCGAACCTCTTCCGCTATACACCAAGGTGCCATCAGCCGGCGAGATCACGGTCGCGATCTCGACTTCGGAGAAGCTGCCAGACTACCATGATGCTGTGCCTACGGATGATGTGGTTGCGGGGAGGAAAAGGAAGCGTAGGACGAGGTTTGATGGTCGTTGCAGATGGTCGGCGAAGAGAAGGCGGACTGAAATTGTGGTGGAGGTACGTTGCAAGGCTTAACCCCCCCGACTACCTACTTGAATATCATATTATCGCTCTAGGACGTCGAGATTGGTCATCTTGATACTTACTTCTACCTTTTTTTCAGCGCCCCGTCTCCGACCTTCCTTTGATTGGATTGCTAGCGAGGCTCGTCCTGGATGACCCTTCCGATTAGAAGCCATGTTACCTGACACCACAGATTACTTTAGAGGTAAGTAGGATGATTTGCAATCCAGATAGAGCAGGGTGCTTTTTTGTTGGTGAATCAGCTGCTGACCAAATATAGAAGGGACAATGAGCCACAATCTATCACGGTTGTGCGGTGTCACGAATGTGAAGGGGACATGTCTATCTCTATTAGATTCTGTTTGAGTTATGGAATAGGTCATCGGCGTCACTGGAGGAGTCATAGGACACAGTTCCTCAGGGCTTTAGATCATCAAGCTAAGGGCACCTACATTTCATGAATATGCCGTTGTCATTCCAATTTCTGAGTGCAAATACTGTCACAAAAGTGAATGGGGTGACGGCTCAGTTGCACGTTTCGTCCAATCTTCAAATGTGGCAACCTAAAAAGTGAATAAGTCTGACACCTTGACTCGTCGCAGACATCCATAAAACTTTGGGCCCCTCAGGACCAACAACGCCTTTCGTTCTTCTTGGTATATAAGTACCTACTACCTCTACCACTGCACCCACACTGGCGCACCAGACATCGCGAAATACATTTTTACCTCCACCACTGAGTAAAGAGTCCCCTACAAAAGCAACGATGCCTGCCGAAAGAACGAACGCTCGTCGCTCCAGACAAGCCACCAACAACCCACCTCCCTCGCTTCGTCGACAAGACGCGGTTCAAATTACCCACGAGACGATCGTCGACCAACACGGACAGGTCGTCGACTTCGGCATCTACACCGACCAAGTAAACGACATTCTCAGAAGTCTGTTTGGTAGTCCGGTCCAACGTCCTCGTCGCGGTACGTTTAATATCGCTCTCGATTGCTCAAAGGCTGTAGTATACTGATTTTTCTTTCTTTACTAGTTCCTTCCAGCAGGTCCAATCTCCCCCATCCTACGAGGCCGCATCGGCGTAGAAATCCCGAGGAAGTGGATATACCGCCTCTTTATACCAAGCTTCCTAGTATCGGGGAGACGACTGTCGATATCTCGCCGTCGGAGCAGGAGGAGATGCTTCCTGAGTACTCTGAGGCGGGGAGGGATAGAAATGAAAGCAGATCACAAGGTTGAGAAAAGAGCTCATTGCGATGTCAATATACTTGGAGGCAACTGCAGCCTTCTTTCGTCAAAATCATTCCAGTCGTTATTTGCTTCCGTTCTCTCCCATTTGTTTACAATCATTACCGAATATTGGACCCTTCTAGCCAACGATCTGTGACTTGAAGAATTCCTTTTCTTTACCTTATTATGTGCATTAACACAGTCGTTGTGATCCTACCTGTTTTTGGAGGAATGGAAGATTACCTGGGACCCAAACCACATCTGCGCATGTCCTCCACCACGAGACACTCAATGATATCTTTTCACCAATGCCTTCTGTCTGCTTCAAAACTGGTAAAGTCCAAGGAAAATTCTCGTAAGAATACCGACTAGGAGGTATTTTCCCGGTAACATAGCTTGGTACCTGTATTGAAGACCCGCTCCTCGATCAAGGGTCTCACTATGGAGCCGTTGCTATAGAAACATGAACTGCAACCTCAAAACCCCTGGTAACGCGGAGACCTGAATAAGCTGAAGCGCCTTGAACGCAAATAGCTGGACTGTTCAGTGAGGTTCTCAGTGTTCAAACCTGGCGAACGAGGAAAATGAACCAGAACCTTGACCACCAAGAACGTCTATAAAACCGTCGACACGATGGGACCAACTGCGATCTTCTCTTTTCTCACAACAACTGCGCGCACTCTTGCACACCTCAGACTCATCACCAAAACGCACCTAACCAGCCTGGCCGAATACAAACCCACCAAGATGCCTTTCACACGCACATCTGCACGCCGCTCTCGCCCTAGGGCCAACAACCAAACTCCCACTTTGCGTCGCGAAAACGCCGAAGTGGTTTACGAGAATGTCGACGACGTCGACCTGTTTGGGGGGGTCGATATCGACCAAATCCTGGATTTCTTGAGTCAAGAAGACACCAACCATTCAGCCAGAAGTGCCGCCAACCGCGCCCCTCAAGTCGCTCCTGCCTCTCACCTTGTAAACGGGCGGCGCATTGAACCGGAGCCGCAACTCCCTGCGTACACTCGGAATCCCAGCTCAAACGAGATGACTGTGGATTCCACATTTGCGGAGAGGCTTCCAAGTTACGAGGAGGCAAAGAAGGAGAAAGAAAAGGAAGATGAAAAGACTGGAGAAGGTATTCGCGAGCGACTCCTGCGGTTGTCATGTCAAACTCGTACTAAATTATGTCCAGTTCCTCCCCACTCTCAGTAGGAAAATCTGAGCAGACCACCGATGCATCAATTTTGGTATGTACCTTCCTCGTCCAGACTTCTGACAGTCGCTGACTTCATTCAACATTAATACTCTACAGAAGTTTACAGGTCGAGATTGGGAAGGAACGGCATGCACAAATATGCTCAGGCGCAAAAACAGGGTGAAAGAGTTACAGCATGGAGTTGAGGCGGCATGAAGTACTAGAGATATTGGGGGATTCATCTTCAAGTATTCAATTTGGAATCAAGCTACCTGTTCGAGTATCATTCATGAAATACCCTTTGCTACAATGTTCCAGGCTTCACAATTACACAATCCACCCGCTGAACTTCTTCTCGTAGTCTCCAGATGGGAGGCCGTTTCTTCTTCCACTGTCCACATTCATCTCCTTGTAAATTACTGTAACTACTACCAACTTCGCAGTTCGCTTCACTGCTTAATTTCGTCATGTTCATTACTTCTACCGCCCATGTATGGACTATCGGCCGGCAAGCATCACTTGTTGCCCAGGAAACCATACAAACCAGTGAATGGCACGGCTGTTCAAGGTCTAGCCCTTGAGCAGACAACTGTTCGGTGTCCACACCTTGAGGTCAGGACTGTTCAGCGTCCAAAGCTTCGAATCTGGCGACATTGGAAAAGAATCAAATGTCGCAACCCATCTCTCATTCCATATCTCTCAATCTGCCGACTATTCTACATCGCAAAACAACCCGAACTCCTCTCACGCCTGCCACTATCAAAATCTCACTACACCAAAACAACAAACAACATTCGCCGTCATCAGAATCAAAAGCGCAACAATGTCGTCTCCATCGAACACTCCCCGCAGCACCCAGCTACGCAGCATCTACTCTCCCGACCTCCAACGACAAGACGCCTCAGCCAGGTCCCCCACGATTCTCGAAGAAATCGCCGCCGAAGTCGAAGCAGCCAGGTGGGCGGCACTCCCTATCCAATACCTTGCGGTATTCGACCCAAACGACCCAGAGGGCGACCGGGCTCGCGAGCTGGATTTTTACAATGCGCTCGCCGGCGCCGACGATACTTTGTTTGAATCGATCTACCATCACGTTATGGATCAGATTTTGAGAAACCGCGTCTCCTTCCAGTATTACCGCGATAACGCGCCGCCGCCGTACACGACCCATCCGACAAAGGGCGAGATCACTGTCGAGATGTCTCCGGAGGTGGTTCTACCGGCGTACCTACCCCCTTACACCCCGTTTGGGCAAGGTCAGAACTGGGAGGGCGAGGAGGCAGACAAAGAGGAAGAAGACGAGGTGGTGGAAGACAACGGGGAGAAAAGTGAAAGCGTCGTACATGAAGTGGCCGCTGCAAATCCGGAATTAACGATCCCCTTCCTATGCGGTCGACGTATTCCACTCCGAACTGTCGAAGAATACTGGCCGGTAGTTCTTGTCCTCGTTCTCAGCCCTTACATTTATCCCCAAGATCCTCTCTTGTTCGCCGGCTTCGTGTTATTTACCCGCCTGGTGGGCTTCCTCTACGAAAAGGCCAGGGGCAAGTAAAGGTAGCTCCATATACCTCTAGTGAAGATATTTCGCCCCAGTGCTAGTAATGGAACTCATGCTAACAATTCTCTTGATAATCAGGTCTCGGATAATTAGGTGTCGAAAGCGAAGTCAAGGAGTATGACTTGATGCAAGCGGGCTTTGACCACGACCATTGTAAGTACAACTTGCTCTTCATTGTCTCTTGTGTGTTCAGAGCTGCTAACTAGAAGCATACCTATCTAGGTAACTCTACCGAACCCAATAGCTGCCGAACATGGAGATACATACGTCTACTTTGCGCTATTCCGAACGTAGCGCTTTACAGAAAACAGTTTAAAGGAAGGGTGAACTCGATTATACCTCTATGCATCAAAAGGGGGCCGAACATTCGAACATTGTACGATTTGTACATGTATCAAAGCGTTGGCTGCTGGGGTGAACCCTCTGTTTCTCTTATGATGTCTTTATGTTGGGGAACGAATATGGCATGAAGCACGAGCTACAATGTACAACTATCACCATAAACAAATCTACCTCCACTCCAATTGCGTGTTCAGGAAGTCTATTTTGCCTATTATTGTTCAAATTACGCCGCCATTCAAGGAAATTGGTGGTGGCGAAGCACGAGCTCTCCGGAGCACAAGGGGTAATATAGAGGTACATGCCTATCATGTCTCTGGGCTTGGATGAGAAGAGTTTGTCACGTCTTGAGGGCGAAATGGACCTATCTTCTCCTTCGTTTCGGTGTACCAATATGACTGGACTTCACACATTGTCCAACTGACTGCGTCTATTAGCATTCAACCTCCGCTGCCCTCGATAGCACCAGCTCGTGGCCCAGACTTACAGGGTTTTTGACTGGGTTGCCTGGGAAAATACATGTACCTGTAGGGACTTTGGGATCAAGGGTCATGTGCAAACCTTGGACCTTGTCAAAGAACCTGAAGTCTACGGCCTGGCCGCTCTATCCGCCTGGCACCTCCATTCACCGATCCATCCAGAACTATAACATAATCCCTCCCATCCACTGAGAAGCGCAACAAACTTGAACCGGTTTTATACCAGCAACCTATCGTCCCCCACGATCAAAGTCACAACCGACCACAACACAACACCGACTTTCAACATCACTTTTTCTCACGCAAAGAAAATTACCAACAATGTCGTCCCCTTCTAACAACTCCCGTCGCTCTCAAATGCCCAGCAACCAACCTCCCCACCCCCAACGACAAGGCGCGACAGTTAGAGCCTCCGAAACACCCCAAGCCCTCAATGAGGAAGCAGCCAGGGTAAGGGCCATCACCGACCGAGTCCTCGCAAACTTTCGCAACGAAGCAGCCAGAATCCCCGCAGTCAGGAACCAGGCGACGGCGACCTCTCCAGACAACTTGATCGAGACCATGAACGCCTCCTTGGACGCTATCAGAGTTGCCGCCGGTAATGAGGCTCCTCCCAGGCCTATGAGAACCGCCCGTCAGGCTGCTATCGAAAATCGTCTAGGTCGCCTGGATGAATTGATCAGGTCTCTCCGGAGCCGCCTCCCGCCCAACCCCGATTCCGCACCTCCGTACACGGAGCTACCATCCGAGGGTGAAGTGACGATGGCGATGTCGGTGCCTGAGCCGGAGTATACCCCGCCTTACACTCCATTCGGGCAGGGTCAGAAGAGCAAGCGGGAGGGGGAAATCTATTATAAGGAGGAGGAGGAGGACACCGGCGATGTCGAGGAGGGAGATCGCGGCTTTGGAAGATCATGCGCACCATCCCCTGAGTCGACGATTCCCCAACGAGATACCAGCTTTGCTGAGGAAGACGACGGTGAAATCAGTGACGAGGAGAAAAACCATTCGGAGGGGAACGATCAGGACGAGAACGGCCACAGCTAGAGGTCCGAGGAGGCATGGAAGATCAGTCATGAACAAGGGGCACCACAACATCGATGGCTGTAAGTATGAGCCAATATTCCTGGAAGTTGAGAGCTGCTAACTGACAGCATGGTTCTCAGTAAAACAGGCAAGGCATCCGATTGTCGAGGCAAGAAAAAACCACTATGTTGCCAACGATTTCCATTATACCAACCCGACCGCCGTCATTTCTCGAATAGTCACGGACAGACCAATCCATGAAGGACATGGGTCGAACGGAGGAGCAGAGGAGTTTTTCGAGGGTTGGGATCGTTATTGAACAAGCTGTTTGATGTCTTGCCAGGAGCTATTCTCAGCGTGTCACTTCCACCTTCTTGTTCTTATAGCCACATCGTATTTCGGGAAGGGAGATGATCGCAAAACACAAGGTACTCCTGAACTACCTGGACACTCTGTGATTTATGTATCAAAGCTCTCTCGACGGTTGGAGGAAATACGCACTTTAGGTTGGGAAGCGAATTCTTCACCTACTCCCTGTACCCCCGCTGTAGGGTTCTGTTCCGAATCCATTCCTCCTAAGAAGAACAGCCTAGGTAGTTATATCCTACCGAAGTGACATTCGAACCGAAGCTAGTCGCAAACGACCGTCACGCTTCCCAGAAAACTGTGCCCATAAATGCGTATACAGAACCTCCTTCTTCCTCGACAGCATCAGGTCGTATCCCGACATCACAGGATCTCCGTTCCCAGGACCGTCCACCAGAATGGCCTGCTTTATATAGGTACAGAGGTTACATGTACTGTCATAGCCGCCACCGCCCGCCATCCTCCTTCTTCAACCCAGACGACGGACAAGGCCATGGTTCAGGCAGTGTTAATACTTGTGGGATGAGACCGGATTTGTTCGTGAAAGATGGGTAATTTCAAGCGCTGTACGCAAATCGTACAAAACAAACAAACAGGGCGTAAACTTGGATCTATTACCTTCACTCAACTTCCAGGCGGCCGCGGAAGGGACGTAGGAACAATCTGGCCCACTCAAACTTCCACTTGAGTCTCTCACTTTCCCTTTATATTGCAAACCGAATTTCAGAACTCCCACGTCTGTCTCCATCTACAAGTCAACAACACCACACACCAAACAACAACACCTCACCTCCATCAATAACACAAACACAAAGCAACGATGTCTTCCCCCTCGAGCAACCCTCGCCACTCCCAGTCGCCCGACAACCAACCTCCGCGAAACCCCCGCCCACTCCAACCGGCCCCGGCCGACGCACCCGGCGACGCAGTCCCTCCACTTGACGAGGAGAGGCTCACCGCCATCGCCAACCGAATCCTGGACGCCTACGACCCAAATGACTTTCTTGGGTCCATGGCGGCTGCGTTCGACAGGATGAGAGAGGCCTCCGGCGGTGACCTGACCATGTTCAGGGAAATCGGGCTTCGTGTTGTCGCCGAGATAAGTCGCAGGCGTAACCCAGAGTATGTCCCCAATCCAGCACCGCCATACACCGCACTACCTGCGATGGATGAGGTCACGGTTGCGTTGTCGGTTGCGGAGCCGGAGTATACCCCGCGGTATACTCGGTATGCGCAAGGGCAGAAGAGGAAGAGGGAGGATCAAAATAATGGGTATGAAGAGGGGGAAGAAGTCAACGACAGGGAGGATGAGGAGCAGAGTTACGAGGAGCAGAATCATGAGGATGAGAATGGTGAGGAGGAACTCAATGAAGAGGAGATCAATGAAGAGGAGAATGACGGGGAGTGAACGACTGCGACTACAATTCCTCTTCAGGACCAGTGTTGTGACCCAGGCAGGCAAGCAATAACCACGAGATTTCCTTTTGGTAAGTTCAACACACAAGGAAGGCCTCCTGCCATTGTTTCGCCGTTGTTAACAGCCGCTTATCAGACATGTCAGGTCGCCATGGAAAGCAAACTCGTCCACATTCCAACATCTCTCCATGATACAGCAAGAGCTACAGACCTCAGGGAAAGAGACAGAGACCCAAATCAATCAGCACCAGCCGCGCCTACCACATAGACAGCACGCACAACCACCGAGCCTGTCCACCAAGATCGCCACACCTTGACTTTTGCCACGACACCGTATTCTCCAACCCACCCGCCTTATGGCGAGCTCCGCGACAAGCGTAGTCATTTGTGCAGTACGAGCACCGCAGTCTCTTTGGTTTCGGAGGAGGCATCAGGCCCTGGCGCTTGGCAAGTTTGACCTTATGGCCATATGACCTGCGTTCATGTTGGATGGCTGGGGCTGTACTCCTCCACCCACCCAATGTCGCAGAAATCGCACCACCACGTTAACTCGCCATCTTGGCACTTGGGAGGGACGTATGTCCGATTTTTCCTTGGCTATGTGCATGTGGCCGGTCGGCACTCTTCTGGTGCTTCAGTTCTCCGATGTCTTGCGGCGCAGAGCCTGTAGCAGGAGCACAGAAGCCGGCAACTGAAGCAGTCTGGCCACCTTCCGGGTCGGTGGGTGTCAAAGAGACGGAAGAATATCTGGCCCTATTCGGCCGAGCTTGTGTCTCGCGACGTACAGGACCACCACGCACGAATCATCTACCACCTTATTACAAGGAAGTCAGATCCCATCATTCGTCTCCAGACATCGAAGATCGCTTTGCCAAAACAGTTGAAGCTGTCTTCTCAGACCTCTAGAGATATCCAGGAACAAATCACCAATACAGATAATGGTGTGGTTCCCAAGATTCCGAGTGACAAAGACGGGGGGAAAGCCAAGGACAAAGTATGGTACCGGCGTGTACGGAGACTAGGCGCTTGTATAATTGCACTAGAACACGGCCGGGCGCGGGAGAATGTAGTATACATATCGGTAAATCAGATACCTAATGTTTGAAGATCAAAAGCAGTTGTAGCTCCTATAACGGACGCCCAAATAAAGTAGGAGTACTCCTTGTTCCTCCTCAGAGTCAGCTATAACCATGATATCAAAGTGAATGCACCTTCAGTCAAGTGAGATACAATTAGCAATGCCGCCGAAAGTTTGCCTTTTGACTTAGTTTCAGACAGCTTCAAGGATCAAACTGGAGAAGGGTGGGAGTCAACGCAATCTGATCACGAATAATCGCCGTGATCAGGGAGAGTTCGGCAACTTGTTCTTGGAGTTCCGAGACCGCGGCGGCTTCTCCCAGGCTGTCTTCCAGATGGCGGATTCGAATGTTCATTCCGGATTGCCAAGTGGCATGATCTTCCTTAATGGCCGAGGAGACCTCGGTCATGCGTGAGTCTACCGCTTCCTTGATGAATCGCTTAAGGGTGGTCAAGTCTGCAGCAACATGCCCGCTGATCTCATCTTCATTGATCTCGGCGAGGTGAGATTGCCCGAGGCGATATAGACAGCCGCCCACCTGCTCTGGCAAGCTGTTGATCCTCAATGTGGTACCCTCCACGAGGGTGGGCACTCTCTTCGGCTAGGTTCTACTGATAACGCGGCGGGCCTTGGTGGCGGGGCCGCACAGAGAAGAGGTTGGCAATGATGGTTTCGCTCACACAAATGTCGTTAGAAGGTATGGTTGACACCGGCTGGAATGGGGTTGAAGGTCGCCGTTTCGGATCGCTACGGCCCGTGTTAGTGAGGATTCGAAGGGCGCGTCGCAAATCGCCTTCGTAATGCTGTAGAATGGAGGGGTGCTTACATTTGTGACCATGGCGAATTGGCAATCACCAAAACACGCTTGTTTTAGCGAAAGAACTCGGCGCACTTACCAACCACCCAGGCGAATAGCGGCGACTCGGATAACACTCACTTCAACATATAAAGTGTACTGGTATAAGGTGAGAGGGACTCATCCTTTATTAGGTTGACGAATATAAACCATAACCCACTATCGTAGTCGTGCGTGCATCCATCACAAGTAAACCTTTCGGATGAAGGCATGTCTCACCGCAACCCTCCTCTGTACACTCAAAAGGCTTTTTGGTGTTGTGTGTTCTCTTGTGGTGGCAGAGATCAGAGCTGGTTTCAGCCCTATACTTGCAATAAGGACATACAAAAGGCCTATCGTCGCTGTGTGTCAATTTGTTATTATTGAGTTGGTGGTTTGCTGTGAATCTCTTACCGCAACCCTCCTCTGTACACTCAAAAGGCTTTTCGGTATTATTATTAGTTTTATACACGCTAACTATTTACATAGTTCGCCCTATAGGCATACGGTGCTACTTCGCTCGTAGTCGGTGGGAAAAACCGTACTATAATAGCCGGATAAAAACCCTCCGCTTCGCTATCGTTATAGTACTGTATCAGCTCCGTACCGTCCCGTTTTCCTTCCTCTCGGTATAACCTTACCATTATAACCGAAATTATAAATTTTTATTATATATATAGCCGACCCTACCCTAATTAATCGCCGTCCTTTTTCTATTTTTTTACTATTATTTCCTTATAGTCGGTAGCCTTTTATCCTATTTTTCTTTGATTATATTATCCTAGGTTACTTAACTTATTTATAAAGGAAACTTCGACCCGGCTTTCTCTTTCCTTCTTTCTTTCCTTCCTTATATTATATTATTGCCTCTACTATATATTAGGAACGTAGGCGAAAGGTAGGCTGAGGTGACTACGGTTGTGGCCATACGTAGGGGACGGTAAGTTAGGGGTTAATCTAAAAATGTATTGATAGCTACCGACTATAATAAACTACGCTCCGTTAAACCTCTTTTATACCTATACAAACTCTATTTATCCGCTAACGAATATTATAGAATCTTATACTAATTTAGTACTTCAGTACAGTGCCGGATTATTCTTCCCGCGAGCCCGACCCGATATAGGTATTATTATTAATAATCTTATACATCGGTTAACGAAGGGGAGTAGTAGCTATTAAGGTACTTCTATATACGAGTTCTAAGCTTCTTGATACGACCCCCCCCTTTATAGGTTCTATCTTCGGAATTTTCGCAATTCGTAATAAATTCTAATTAAATAGTAAAGAGCGTTAGTATTGTATTATTATAGTATTATTAAATTGCGTTATTAGTAAGGGTATAATATCCTTACCCTTTAGTTTGGATAAATTATTATTCGTAATAGCCGTTAATATTATATTCTAGATATTATAACTATTCCGCTACCGACGAGCCGTCCGTTAGAATATTAGTCTTATAATATCCCTTCTCTTAAGTTCTAAATATAAATACGAAGCCGCCTACTAAAATATTGGTATTGTAATATCTATTCTCCCGAATTCTAAATACGAATACGAAGCCGGTTACTAAAATATCGGCATTATAATATCTATTCTTATAAGCCCCTAATACAACAAGCCGCCTACTAGAATATTAGTATTATAATATTTATTCTTATAAATTCTAAATACGGATACGAAGCCGGCCGTTAAAATATCGGTATTATAATATTTATTTTTATAAATTCCAAATACAGCGAACCGCCCGCTAGAATATTAACATTATAATATCTATTCTTATAAGCTCTAAATACGGATACGAAGCCGTCCGCTAGAATATTAGTATTATAATATTTATTCTTATAAATTCTAATACGGATACAAAACCGGTATTAAATTTAAAGCGCTAGCGTATTATCCGCTAGAATATCGGCATTATAATATCTATTTTTATAAATTCCAATGTAAATACGAAACCGGCACTAAATTTAAAGCGCTAGCGTGCCGCCCGCTAGAATATTAGTATTGTAATATCTATTTTTATAAATTCTAATACGGATATAAAACCGGTATTAAATTTAAAAAGTTAGCCGGGTTCCCGACTATTATTAAGACCGTTATTCTATAGGCGTACGAGGTAGTAAGCTTCGTTTTATTTACCGAAGAATATTATATTAAATTTAAGAATATTAATAAGTAATTGCGACCTACTATAATATTTGAATACGATCCCCCTCCTTATAAATTCTATCCTTAGGACCTCCATTTTTTTCTTCCGCCTCCTAATTCTATATACGGCTTCCTTTACAAACTTTCCTTATTGATGCGGGAGCATCGCATGTATGATTAGATCAATTGACTAGAGTAGACTGGGCATGGGTTGGAGCTATGCCCACCCTCGATAGAGGCACTAGCGTGCCCAGGCACGTGCCAATATACGTGCCCGGCTCGCCCGGTCGCTGGACCTGCATTACAGGTTTACGATAAGATAAGGGAATTCCTATAAAGGGATTCCCGCGCCGTGCGCCTTCGGCTACGGCTTTCTTCCTCCATTATCTTCTTCTTTAATATTATAAATTGTAATAAACATTATAGTATTACCCTATCAAGTGGTAATTGTAATTAAACGTTCAATGACTATCGCGAGTAATATATTCCTCGTACCTACTTTTTAGTAAGTTCGCTAATTATCTATTTTGTAAATTTGCTAGTCCGATCGAATAATTTTCTATTATGTATAGTACGTCGGTCTTATAATTATTCTTATTCTATTGAATTCGCCGATTATATAGATTGCGAACCTTATAGTTTAATTAAACAATCTCCTATCTATATAGGACGTTAATCCTATAATTACCCTTTAATTTATTAATTGTATATTGCTTAGATAGTATTATAAAAATTATACTTCTACTTTATACTATTGTACTCGCGTCGGTTCGTATTAAATAAGTATATAGAAACTTCTATACTACTCCGATTTGAATTTCTTTGATTTTCGATGCGAAGGGTTACTTTGCGATTCGTTTATTTTCTAGATAGTTATCGCCTCCTTTTCCCTTATTTAAAATTATTGGTTGTTTATATAGAATACTATTAACAATAGACCTATCCTCTTTATTTATTCTCTTTTACTTTTATATTAATTTTTTTATTTAAATACCCCCTAATTATAGGCGAAACGAACTTACATTAATAATTTAATCGGTAATATCTATTATAGTTAGTAAAAACCTTCCTAATTAAGCGATTATTCGTTATTCGCTTCGGAAATTATTAGTACCTTCAATCTATAATATTGAATATTTAAGTAATTAATTTATTCTATTTTAATATTAATCTAATAATCCGCCCCGCAATTTAATGTATAATATTATTTAAATTTATACTTCTATTTAGTATAATGATAGTTAGGTATAGTTTAAGCCCGGTATTATCGGTACTATTATTTCTAGTATAATAAATATTCTCTTTCCTTTGAAATTCCGTTGGTCCTTTATTATTAATCCGCCCGAAAATCTCGCGCCCCCTAAAATATTACTTTAGAAGCGCCCCTCCCCCTACGTTAATTATAATACTATTACCGCCGGACGTAATAATAATTCGGGTTTGGATTCCGACGATCCGGACCTTCCTAAGTGAATTAATAATAAGAAGGTTTAGAAACGCTTAAATTATATGAATACTATAACTAAATATTTGAATATAAATTTATATTAAATAAAGAATAAGATTTATAAATAATTCTAAAAGAATTCTATTGTAGTTAATACTAGGGAGGTTTATATTGACGACCTTACCGCCCAAATTAATAACCTTAAAATTAATATATTAACTAACTACCGAAAATTGTTGGCTATCTTCGCTTTACGATTAAAATCTCTTAAAAATAAGGAAAAGGCAATTAATAAAAAAATATTTAGAGGCTTCCTTAATAATTTATTTAATAAATTTAATATTATTACTATTTATTATAGTAAGCTAAACTTAATTGACTTTAGCTTTAATAATAGTGAGGGCCCTTTTACTTATTAATAACCTACTATCGAAAATTTTAATAAAAATATTTATATTAATATTCCGTACAATTTGCGACGTAACCCTTATATTTGTAAAATTATACCTATTTTTATTAAATTAATTCCCGTTCGGCCTATTACCCGGCCGGTTATTCTAATTATTCGTAATGGAAGTCTATTGCCCTGTACCTATATATATATTACCCCGATTAGCGCTACCCTTATTAATAAAATTCGTTATAATTTCCGTTTTATTAATATGTTTTGCGACGATATTGATCTTAATAAAAATAATTTTATAGAGTTTATTAATGGAGTAAAAGATTACGACTTAGAGCTTTATAAATTATTAAAGAAATAGGTTAATATATACGAAAGATATTTCCAATAGATTAAGGATTTATATACTAAGCGAATTTATTCTATTACGTACCCTAATTTATTTTATAACGAATTTAGTAAGATAGCCGTTAAATGCGTTAAATGCGCTAAGGAAGCCCCCGTTACTTTTATTTATTCTGTTTGTATTGTTAGTAAGGTTGGAAATATTTTTTCTTTATTTAAATTAAGTGCTGAAATTATTAGTAAGGTTGGAGGAGGTGCCCTTTCTATTCCTTCGAATATCCGTCTAATTGTAGCCGCTCTTAGTGACTCTAATAACGGTAATGATACGGACGACGATAATAACGATAATAGCCTACGCCCCATCGGTAAAATTAATTATTTTATTAATTATAAGTTTATTTTCTTTAAGGCCGTAGATTTTAATAAAGATAAGATTAAATTCAAGTGAGATAATATTAGTATATTTAATCCTTTTACTGAAAACCCTGAAGATATAGGTATAATCGAATCCGGTAGCGATTTTATTTATATTAATACTACTATATTTAAGGACTGGTTAGTTACTTTACTCGAGGATAATCCTATTAGATTTATTTATAAGCAGTTTGTATATATATAGCCTCTTCTCTTATAAGGTACTATTTATATGTAGTAGTA